AGTGTGTCAGTGTCAATGTGTCAGTGTGTCAGTGCCAGTGTGTCAGTGCCAGTGTATCAGTGTGTCAGTGTCAATGTGGCAGTGCCAGTGTGTCAGTGCCAGTGTGTCAGTGTCAATGTGTCAGTGCCAGTGTGTCAATAGTAGCGCGTGTGTCAGTGTCAATGTGGAAGTGTCAATGTGGCAGTGCCAGTGTCAATGTGTCAGTGTGAGTGTGTCAGTGTGAGTGTGTCAGTGCCAGTGTGTCAGTGCCAGTGTGTCAGTGTCAATGTGTCAGTGTCAATGTGTCAGTAGTCGCGCGTGTGTCAGTGCCAGTGTGTCAGTAGTAGCGCGTGTGTCAGTGTCAATGTGTCAGAAGTAGCGCGTGTGTCAGTGTCAATGTGTCAGAAGTAGCGCGTGTGTCAGTGTCAATGTGTCAGTGCCAGTGTGTCAGTGCCAGTGTGTCAATAGTAGTGCGTGTGTCAGTGTCAATGTGGCAGTGCCAGTGTGTCAGTGTGTCAGTGCCAGTGTGTCAGTGCCAGTGTGTCAGTGTGTCAGTGTCAATGTGGCAGTGCCAGTGTCAATGTGTCAGTGTGAGTGTGTCAGTGTCAGTGTGTCAGTGTCAATGTGTCAGTGCCAGTGTGTCAGTAGTAGCGCGTGTGTCAGTGTCAATGTGTCAGAAGTAGCGCGTGTGTCAGTGTCAATGTCTCAGTGCCAGTGTGTCAGTGCCAGTGTGTCAGTGTCAATGTGTCAGTGTCAATGTGTCAGTGTCAATGTGTCAGTCCCAGTGTGTCAGTGTCAATGTGTCAGTGTGTCAGTGCCAATGTGTCAGTGCCAGTGTGTCAATAGTAGTGCGTGTCTCAGTGTCAATGTGGAAGTGTCAATGTGGCAGTGCCAGTGTCAATGTGTCAGTGTGAGTGTGTCAGTGTCAATGTGTCAGTGTGTCAGTGCCAGTGTGTCAGTGTCAATGTGTCAGTGTCAATGTGTCAGTATCAATGTGTCAGTACCAGTGTGTCAGTGCCAGTGTGTCAGTGTCAATGTGTCAGTGCCAGTGTGTCAGTGTCAATATGTCAGTATCAATGTGTCAGTACCAGTGTGTCAGTGCCAGTGTGTCAGTGTCAATGTGTCAGTGCCAGTGTGTCAGTGCCAGTGTGTCAGTGTCAATGTGTCAGTGTGAGTGTGTCAGTATCAATGTGTCAGTACCAGTGTGTCAGTGCCAGTGTGTCAGTGTCAATGTGTCAGTATCAATGTGTCAGTACCAGTGTGTCAGTGCCAGTGTGTCAGTGCCAGTGTGTCAGTATCAATGCGTCAGTGTCAATGTGTCAGTGTCAATGTGTCAGTACGTAGAGGGAGTTCGATTGGTGATCGCAAAGGGCGGGGGCGAGGGGGCAATGTGAGTGGGGGGGGGGGTCCAGGGATAGAGAGGTGGGGGGGGGTCCAGGGATAGAGAGGTGGGGGGGGGTCCAAGGATAGAGAGGTGGGGGGGTCCAGGGATAGAGAGGTGGGGGGGGGGGTCCAGGGATAGAGAGGTGGGGGGGGGGGGTCCAGGGATAGAGAGGTGGGGGGGGGGTCCAAGGATAGAGAGGTGGGGGGGTCCAGGGATAGAGAGGTGAGGGGGGGTCCAAGGATACAGAGGTGGGGGGGGGTCCAAGGATAGACAGGTGGGGGGGGGGGGGGGTCCAGGGATAGAGAGGTGGGTGGGGGGGGGTCCAGGGATAGAGAGGCGGGGGGGGGTCCAGGGATAGAGGTGGGGGGGGGGTCCAGGGATAGAGGTGGGGGGGGGGGGTCCAGGGATAGTGAGGGGGGGGGGGGGGGCTCCATCTCGCGCCCCCCGCCCCCCGTCGCGTCACTGCCCGGGCCGGGACGCGGAGGGATACGCGGGCCCGTGCAGCTCAGGGACCGCGGTCATTTACCAAACAAGACGTCGCCTCGGGTAGAGAGGTGGACGAGCGAGGGGGGGGGGGAGTTGGTGGATCACAGAGGGACGGGTGCCGACACTCCCCAGAACCCCCTGGGGGTTGTACTGACAGTACGGCAGCAAGTGGGTTCCTGAACCCGAGTGGTATCCCTGTTATCCCCTAACGTGCCATAAGATTTTAAATGTAATAAGGCAATACGCCTCGCATGACTGTCCACGTGAATAATTTTTGTTACACATCCCATCATCCACCTAAACTTTCTAGGGGTGCGTTTTCAGCAGCATCGGTTCAACACGGCACAGTTCAAGCCAACCGGCCCGCGGTTCAAGGATTCAGTGCCTCGTCACTAGCCAGGCTTACTTGAGCCAAATGCGGGCGATATTCCAGATGGTTATTAGGCAAGGACCCCTCTCAGATATTTTAAAACTTTTTTTGTCGAGGCATTGCAACTTCCTGACCCGCCCCTACTGGACATCCGTGGGGGGGGGGGGGGGGGGGGGGGAAGAGCGCTTCATGGCTCATCGGATTTCTGCAGGATAAATCTCCCGAGATTCGGTTCGAGATTCAGTTCGACGTAAAACTAGAAATGATTTGTTGTGTACTATGTTGAACTTCTTTCGCACCTTTGGTTCTTTCGGTAAAGTCACGTAGAATGAGAATAAAATAATAAATTGATAAAATAAAATAACACAATAATATTCTCACGACGTTTCGGCCACAACACAAGCGGCCTTCATCAGGTGAAGGGACGAGACAGTCTGGTAGGACAGCGCTGGAGTGAAAGAGCCACGTTCAGATCGCGACCTTTAAGCTGTGTGAGAAGAAACAAAGCGCCTTGACAAAGGAATTAGCATATAATTTAGCATTGAAATGGCTGAGTGATTAGCTTGTGACTGGTCACAGAAATAGCTATGTTAAAAGTTAAAGCATACACATCCGCAGAGGCACCCCTTGATGAAGGAATTAGCATAGAATTTAGCATTGAAATAGCTAAGTTAAAGCATACACATCCGCAGAGGCACCCCTTGACAAAGGAATTAGCATAGAATTTAGCATTGAAATAGCTGAGTGATTAGCTTGTAACTGGTCACAGAAATAGCTACGTTAAAGTCAGAGCATACACATTCACCGAGGCACTTAGTACAAATCAAACAGGAGAATTTAGGCCTACACATCTGAGCTATTCACAATACTTGACTTCAACATAGTCATTTCTGTGACCAGTCACTAGCTAATCACTCAGTTATTTCAATGCTAAATTCGCCTAGTTATTTCAATGCTAAATTCTCCTGTTTGATTTGTACTAAGTGCCTCGGTGAATGTGTATGCTCTGACTTTAACGTAGCTATTTCTGTGACCAGTTACAAGCTAATCACTCAGCTATTTCAATGCTAAATTCTATGCTAATTCCTTTGTCAAGGGGTGCCTCTGCGGATGTGTATGCTTTAACTTTTAACATAGCTATTTCTGTGACCAGTCACAAGCTAATCACTCAGCCATTTCAATGCTAAATTCTATGCTAATTCCTTTGCCAAGGCGCTTTGTTTCTTCTCACACAGCTTAAAGGTCGCGATCTGAACGTGGCTTCTTTCACTCCAGCGCTGTCCTACCAGACAGTCTCGTCCCTTCACCTGATGAAGGCCGCTTGTGTTGTGGCCGAAACGTCGTGAGAATATTATTGTGTTATTTTATTTTATCAATTTATTATTTTATTCTCATTCTACGTGACTTTACCGAAAGAACCAAAGAAGATTAATCATTGCAGTCACGAAAGCTTTAAATCGAAATTCTGTCGCACCGTACGTGGCCAACCGCGCCGACAGGCGTTGTAAAGACAGCACCCTCCCCAAAACAAAGAGCGAGGGGGCGCTTCTGTGTCGCGGTCGCGTTACCCCGTGAGCGTGGCAGAGTTACCCCGTGAGCGTGGTAACGTTACCCCGTGAGCGCGGTAACGCTACCCCGTGAGCGTGGGGGTCGCGTTACCCCGTGAGCGTGGTAACGTTACCCCGTGAGCGTGGCAGAGTTACCCCGTGAACGTGGCAGAGTTACCCCGTGAACGCGGCAGTTACCCCGTGAGCGCGGCAGAGTTACCCCGTGAGGGTGGCAGTTACCCCGTGAGCGTGGTAGAGTTACCCCGTGAGCGCGGCAGTTACCCCGTGAGGGTGGCAGAGTTACCCCGTGAGGGTGGCAGAGTTACCCCGTGAGGGTGGCAGAGTTATCCCGTGAGCGCGGCAGAGTTACCCCGTGAGGGTGGCAGAGTTACCCCGTGAGCGCGGCAGTTACCCCGTGAGCGCGGCAGAGTTACCCCGTGAGGGCGGCAGTTACCCCGTGAACGTGGCAGAGTTACCCCGTGAGCGTGGTAACGTTACCCCGTGAGCGTGGCAGAGTTACCCCGTGAACGTGGCAGTTACCCCGTGAACGCGGCAGAGTTACCCCGTGAGCGTGGTAGTTACCCCGTGAGCGCGGCAGAGTTACCCCGTGAGGGTGGCAGAGTTACCCCGTGAGCGCGGCAGAGTTACCCCGTGAGGGTGGCAGAGTTACCCCGTGAGCGTGGTAACGTTACCCCGTGAGCGTGGCAGAGTTACCCCGTGAACGTGGCAGAGTTACCCCGTGAGCGCGGCAGAGTTACCCCGTGAACGTGGCAGAGTTACCCCGTGAGCGCGGCAGAGTTACCCCGTGAGCGCGGCAGAGTTACCCCGTGAGCGTGGCAGAGTTACCCCGTGAGGGTGGCAGAGTTACCCCGTGAGCGTGGCAGTTACCCCGTGAGGGTGGCAGAGTTACCCCGTGAGCGTGGTAACGTTACCCCGTGAGCGTGGCAGAGTTACCCCGTGAACGTGGCAGAGTTACCCCGTGAGCGCGGCAGAGTTACCCCGTGAACGTGGCAGAGTTACCCCGTGAGCGCGGCAGAGTTACCCCGTGAGCGCGGCAGAGTTACCCCGTGAGCGTGGCAGAGTTACCCCGTGAGGGTGGCAGAGTTACCCCGTGAGGGTGGCAGAGTTACCCCGTGAGGGCGGCAGAGTTACCCCGTGAACGTGGCAGTTACTCCGTGAACGTGGTAACGTTACCCCGTGTGGCAGAGTTACCCCGTGAACGTGGTAACGTTACCCCGTGAGCGCGGCGGCGCTGCCGTGCGCGGGAAGACGCTGACCGCCAACTCCGCGACGGGAGCACGCCTGGGCAGGGAGGGCACGGCTAAAACCCTTTTAGATGCCTTCGTGTCGAAATATTGATCGACGCCGCCCGTCCCCTCACAGTGATCTCATCGCATTCACGCTGACAGCAGCGGACTCGTCGACTGTGGCTGTTTTAAACGTGAACGCATTCGAGGCCTAGCGATACCACGAGCAAGCCTGACTTTCCTGATCCCCTTCTGTTTCATCATCGGCGTCAAATGGTCGCGAGCCCTTAGCGGGGGGGCGGGGGCGTGGGAACCCGCCCTTTAAAGGGGCTCGGCATACTCCCACTTCGGCCCGGCCTGTGCTCACACACACAACTCACACATAGACACACGTACATAGACATACATAGACATACATATACAATACATAGGCACGTATACATAGACATACGTAGACATACATATACAATACATAGGCACGTATACATAGACATACATATACAAAACATAGACACTAAGACACATGCATCAACATATACAAACGCAGATACATTTCCATACATAAGACACACATGTACAAACATAGGAACATTCGTATATAGACGCGCATCGTGTATGCTTGCGTTGGTGTTCATACATAGACACACCGTGTAAGCTGTACTTGCATGCCTATGCTTAGGAGCAGAGATGCAGACATGCATACATAGACTCGCATATATTGTATATACTCGTATGCTTAGGCATACATAGATGCACATATAGAACAAGGACACAGGCTTTATGGGGACAAATATCCCCGTATAGCCTTTAAAAGACTGTTGGGGCAAGTCCTGTTAACTGTTCAAGCTCGGCACACACGCAGATATACTGTACACACAGAGACACGCACAGAGACACACAGACACCTATATAAACACAGACACGGAGACACGCATAAAGACACATAAGAGACACGCACATAGAGACATACAGACACGCATAGAGACACAGAGACACGCATAGAGACACAGAGACACGCACATAGAGACAGATACACGCATAGGGACCCAGACACGCATAGAGACACGCATAGAGACACACACGCACATAGAGACACAGAGACACGCATAGAGACACACGCACATAGAGACACAGACACACGCATAGAGACACACGCACATAGAGACATAGAGACACGCACATAGAGACACAGAGACACACGCAGATAGAGACAGAGACACGCATAGAAACAGAGACATACATAGAGACACAGAGACACGCATAGAGACACAGACACACGCACATAGAGACACAGACACACGCACATAGAGACACGCATAGAGACACAGAGACACAGAGACACGCACATAGAGACACAGACACACGCACATAGAGACACATATATAGACACAGACACACGCATAGAGACACACGCACATAGAGACACAGAGACACACATAGAGATACAGAGACACACATAGAGATACAGAGACACACATAGAGATACAGAGACACACGCACATAGAGACACAGAGACACGCATAGAAACACAGAGACATACATAGAGACACAGAGACACGCATAGAGACACATGCACATAGAGACACAGAGACACGCATAGAAACACAGAGACATACATAGAGACACAGAGACACGCACATAGAGACACAGACACACGCACATAGAGACACAGAGACACGCATAGAGACACAGAGACACGCATAGAGACACACGCACATAGAGACACAGAGACACGCATAGAGACACAGAGACACACATAGAGACACAGACACACATAGAGACACAGACACACACAGAGACACACATAGAGACACAGAGACACACACAGACACAGAGAGACACATAGACACACACAGAGACACACATAGAGACACACAGAGACACAGACACACGTAGAGACACACGTATAGACACAGACACAGAGACACGTAGAGACACAGACACACGTAGAGACACAGAGACACACATAGAGACACACATAGAGATACACATAGAGACACACATAGAGACACACATAGAGACACACACAGAGACACATACATAGAGACACAGAGACACACAGAAACACAGGGACACACACACAGAGACAGACACAGAGACACATAGAGACACAGAGACACACATAGAGACACAGAGACATAGAGACACACACAGAGACACAGAGACACACACATAGAGACACAGAGACACACACAGAGACACACATAGAGACACAGAGACATAGAGACACATAGAGACACACAGAGACACACACAGAGACATAGAGGCACACACAGAGACACAGAGACATAGAGACACACACAGAGACACAGAGACATAGAGACACACACAGAGACACAGAGACACACACAGAGACACAGACACACGCTGGTGTGGCCATGGCGAGCCCCAAGTCGCGCAGAGTCCTACAGGACGCGAGGGCAGTGGACGACAACAGCGTGAGCGACGCCTCGTTACCTCGTTACCATTCCACCTCGTTACCTCGTTACCATGCCACCTCGTTACCTCGTTACCATGCCACCTCGTTACCATGCCACCTCGTTACCATGCCACCTCGTTACCATTCCACCTCGTTACCTCGTTACCATGCCACCTCGTTACCTCGTTACCATGCCACCTCGTTACCTCGTTACCATTCCACCTCGTTACCTCGTTACCATGCCACCTCGTTACCATGCCACCTCGTTACCATGCCACCTCGTTACCATGCCACCTCGTTACCTCGTTACCATGCCACCTCGTTACCTCGTTACCATGCCACCTCGTTACCATGCCACCTCGTTACCATGCCACCTCGTTACCATGCCACCTCGTTACCTCGTTACCATTCCACCTCGTTACCTCGTTACCATGCCACCTCGTTACCATTCCACCTCGTTACCTCGTTACCATGCCACCTCGTTACCATGCCACCTCGTTACCATGCCACCTCGTTACCATTCCACCTCGTTACCTCGTTACCATGCCACCTCGTTACCATGCCACCTCGTTACCATGCCACCTCGTTACCTCGTTACCATGCCACCTCGTTACCTCGTTACCATGCCACCTCGTTACCTCGTTACCATGCCACCTCGTTACCATGCCACCTCGTTACCGCGTTACCATGCCACCTCGGTTCCATGCCACCTCGGTTACCATGCCACCTCGGTTACCATGCCACCTCGTTACCATGCCACCTCGTTTCCATGCCACCTCATTACCATGCCACCTCGCCACATCGTCACTATGCCACCTCGCCACCTCCTTGCCATGCCACCTCGCCACCTCGTTACGATGGCACCTCGCCACCTCGTTTCCATGCCACCTTGTTACCATGCCGCCTGGCCACCTCGTTACCATGCCACCTCGTTACCTTCCACCTCGCCACTTCGTTACCATGCCACCTCGTTACCATGCCACTTCGTTACGATGCCACCTCGTTACCATGCCACCTCGTTACCATCCCACCTCGTTACGATGCCACCTCGTTACCATGCCACCTCGCCACTGCGTTACCACGCCACGTTACCATACCACCACGTTAACATGTATGTTAGATCATACAGGTTGTGTGTGTGGTGACTCTACAGTGTGTGTGTGTGGTGACCCTACAGTGTGTGTGTGTGGTGACCCTACAGTGTGTGTGAGGTGACCATACAGTGTGTGTGTGAGGTGACCATACAGTGTGTGTGTGAGGTGACCATACAGTGTGTGTGTGAGGTGACTCTACAGTGTGTGTGTGAGGTGACTCTACAGTGTGTGTGTGTGGTGACCCTACAGTGTGTGTGAGGTGACCATACAGTGTGTGTGTGTGTGTGGTGACCATACAGTGTGTGTGTGAGGTGACCCTACAGTGTGTGTGAGGTGACCATACAGTGTGTGTGTGAGGTGACCATACAGTGTGTGTGTGTGGTGATCATACAGTGTGTGTGTGAGGTGACCCTACAGTGTGTGTGTGAGGTGACCATACAGTGTGTGTGTGTGGTGATCATACAGTGTGTGTGTGAGGTGACCATACAGTGTGTGTGTGAGGTGACCATACAGTGTGTGTGTGAGGTGACCATACAGTGTGTGTGTGTGGTGACTCTACAGTGTGTGTGTGGTGGCCATACAGTGTGTGTGTGGTGACCATACAGTGTGTGTGTGTGGTGACTCTACAGTGTGTGTGTGGTGACTCTACAGTGTGTGTGTGTGGTGATCATACAGTGTGTGTGTGGTGGCCATACAGTGTGTGTTAGGTGACCCTACAGTGTGTGTGTGTGGTGGACATACAGTGTGTGTGTGGTGGCCATACAGTGTGTGTGTGGTGACCATACAGTGTGTGTGTGTGGTGACTCTACAGTGTGTGTATGAGGTGACCCTACAGTGTGTGTGTGTGGTGACCATACAGTGTGTGTGAGGTGACCCTACAATGTGTGTGTGAGGTGACCCTACAGTGTGTGTGTGAGGTGACCCTACAGTGTGTGTGTGTGAGGTGACCATACAGTGCGTGTGTGTGTGGTGACCATACAGTGTGTGTGTGTGTGAGGTGACCATACAGTGTGTGTGTGTGTGTGGTGACCCTACAGTGTGTGTGTGAGGTAACCCTACAGTGTGTGTGTGAGGTGACCATACAGTGTGTGTGTGTGTGGTGACCCTACAGTGTGTGTGAGGTGACCATACAGTGTGTGTGTGAGGTGACCATACAGTGTGTGTGGTGACTCTACAGTGTGTGTGTGAGGTGACTCTACAGTGTGTGTGTGAGGTGACTCTACAGTGTGTGTGTGTGGTGACCCTACAGTGTGTGTGAGGTGACCATACAGTGTGTGTGTGTGGTGACCATACAGTGTGTGTGTGAGGTGACCCTACAGTGTGTGTGAGGTGACCATACAGTGTGTGTGTGAGGTGACCATACAGTGTGTGTGTGTGGTGATCATACAGTGTGTGTGTGAGGTGACCCTACAGTGTGTGTGTGAGGTGACCATACAGTGTGTGTGTGTGGTGATCATACAGTGTGTGTGTGAGGTGACCCTACAGTGTGTGTGTGTGGTGACTCTACAGTGTGTGTGTGTGAGGTGACCCTACAGTGTGTGTGTGTGTGGTGACTCTACAGTGTGTGTGTGAGGTGACCATACAGTGTGTGTGTGAGGTGACCATACAGTGTGTGTGTGAGGTGACCATACAGTGTGTGTGTGTGGTGACTCTACAGTGTGTGTGTGGTGGCCATACAGTGTGTGTGTGGTGACCATACAGTGTGTGTGTGTGGTGACTCTACAGTGTGTGTGTGTGTGTGGTGATCATACAGTGTGTGTGTGGTGGCCATACAGTGTGTGTTAGGTGACCCTACAGTGTGTGTGTGTGGTGGACATACAGTGTGTGTGTGTGGTGGCCATACAGTGTGTGTGTGGTGACCATACAGTGTGTGTGTATGGTGACTCTACAGTGTGTGTATGAGGTGACCCTACAGTGTGTGTGTGTGTGGTGGCCATACAGTGTGTGTGAGGTGACCCTACAATGTGTGTGTGAGGTGACCCTACAGTGTGTGTGAGGTGACCATACAGTGTGTGTGTGTGTGGTGACCCTACAGTGTGTGTGTGAGGTAACCCTACAGTGTGTGTGTGTGAGGTGACCCTACAGTGTGTGTGTGTGTGGTGACCCTACAGTGTGTGTGAGGTGACCATACAGTGTGTGTGTGTGAGGTGACCCTACAGTGTGTGTGTGTGAGGTGACCATACAGTGCGTGTGTGTGTGGTGACCCTACAGTGTGTGTGAGGTGACCCTACAGTGTGTGTGTGAGGTGACCATACAGTGCGTGTGTGTGTGGTGACCATACAGTGTGTGTGTGTGTGTGAGGTGACCATACAGTGTGTGTGTGTGGTGACCATATAGTGTGTGTGTGGTGACCATACAGTGTGTGTGTGAGGTAACCCTACAGTGTGTGAGTGTGTGGTGACCATACAGTGTGTGAGTGTGGTGACCATACAGTGTATGTGTGTGGTGGCCATACAGTGTGTGTGTGTGTGAGGTGACCATACAGTGTGTGTGTGAGGTGACCCTACAGGCTGTGTGTGAGGTGACCAAGCAGGATACAGTGTGTGTGTGGTGACCCTGCAAGGGTGTTGTGTGTGTGAGACATAAAGGCTGTGTGTGTAAGGTGACCCTGCAGGGTGTGTGTGGGTGTGGTGACCCTGCAAGGTGTGTGTGTGTGTGGTGACCCTGCAGGGTGTGTGTGTGTGTGGTGAACCTGCAGGGTGTGTGTGTGTGGTGAACCTGCAGGGTGTGTGTGTGTGTGTGGTGAACCTGCAGGGTGTGTGTGTGTGGTGACCCTGCAGGGTCTGTGTGTGTGTGAGGTGACTCTACAGGGTGTTGTGTGTGTGAGACCATAAAGGCTGTGTGTGTAAGGTGACCCTGCAGGGTGTGTGTGTGTAAGGTGAACCTGCAGGGTGTGTGTGTGGTGACCATACAGTGTGTGTGTGAGGTGACCCTACAGTGTGTGAGTGTGAGGTAACCCTACAGTGTGTGTGTGAGGTGACCCTACAGGCTGTGTGTGAGGTGACCAAGCAGGATACAGTGTGTGTGTGTGGTGACCCTGCAGGGTGTTGTGTGTGTGAGACATAAAGGCTGTGTGTGTAAGGTGACCCTGCAGGGTGTGTGTGAGGTGACCAAGCAGGATACAGGGTGTGTGTGTGTGTAAGGTGACCCTGCAGGGTGTGTGTGGGTGTGGTGACCCTGCAGGGTGTGTGTGAGGTGACCAAGCAGGATACAGGGTGTGTGTGTGTGTAAGGTGACCCTGCAGGGTGTGTTAATGATGGCAGCGCGCGTGAATGCCGTGGGTGCCGGACGGAGAGAGATTCATCAGTGGGCCAAGACTGCTGTCCTCATTGATGCATGGCGAGGAACGCGGCCTTTGCGACTTGTCCCTAGACCTAATCACAACTCTAAACTGCAATCTAACCCTAAACCATATCCCCTATGCCTCAACCCTTAGCTCCAACGCCTACCCCCATGCCACAATCCTAATCTCTGACCCAAATGCATAAACCGTAACTTCTAACCCATACCCTAACCTCCAACCCCTTATCCCCAACCTCTAACTCCAACGCCTAAACCCTAACGTCGATGTCTAAACCGTATCCCCAATGCCTGACCTGTAACCCTTAAACCTACATGTGAACTGCTGAAGAAGCGACTTCAACTGAAACGCAAGCTCTGTGATTGGGCATGAATCTGCTACGTGGATAGAAACCTGCGGTGTCCGTGGTACCGAGAGACTCGGTTTCTCTCCGCTTGCTGTCTAATCGGTGCTGTCTGTGCCGCCACAGCTGTGCTTCGAATGTGGTGCACACAGCGCGCAGTGGGCAAGCGTCACCTACGGCATCTGGGTCTGCCTGGAGTGCTCGGGTCGGCACCGGGGCCTCGGCGTGCACCTCAGGTGAGCGCGCGGACACAGCGCCGCTACGCCGAGCCTGCATTGGCCCTGGGTGGCGGCAGTGGAGGTAGCACCGGAGCTTAGCCGCGATCCACGCATTCGGGATAGCGCGTTGCAGACTTTGGCACGGCACAAAGATTGGGCTGTCTTGTGAGGTGAGGCACCCACTTTCGGGGCAATCTGGTGCCTGTTGGAGGATAGTGCTGCAAGTAGGTTATGCCATTTTAATTGTTGTCTGTAATCACTAAATGGATTATCCTATCTTGATTTATATAGCGGCTCATTCCAAGGCACTTTACAGCCCCTGCTGTAAAAAGTTGGCCAAACCCTCTTGAAAAAGAGTCCTGTGACTCGGGACTATGTGGGTAAACAAGCGGACGATTACTACAATAATACTGCATAAGGTTTTTATTCACACAGCCTCAACCCTTAAGGAATTGACCAAATCAATGAGCAGGACTCTCCTGAAATAATGCCTTGGGGCATTGGTGGGTAAAGGAAGAGATGGGAGATGCATGGAGTCAGATGTATAGAGATGAGGCATGGTAGATGTGCAGAGGATCAGAATCTGTATCTTTATTTAGACTGGAGGAATCCGGTGAACTTTGAAGCTCTGTTTTTTACAGATGTCCAGTAGACGGTGAGAGATGCGGAGAGCGATATGGCACAAGGAGCCATGATAGTGAGCATGTTGAGCCACGAGGAGGGAGCTGGAGACAGACTCTTCATGGGGGACACGTGGAGTTAGAGGCGGCAGGCATACGGAGTGGGATGGGCGATGCACAGAGTGAGAGAGGCAGAGGCACAGCACGAGAGGTTTGCGGAGTGAGAGAGGTGGGGACAGCGTGGACGACGCGTGGGAGTGTAGTGACTTGCAGTGTCACTACTGTGTACACACACACGCACATGTGTGACGTCACTATGCGGGGGAGCGTCACTACCACACGGGTCTACACACACACATGACGTCATCCCGTCTGGAGGCGGGAATGACGTCAGGGCCGGTTCAGGGACCGGGAGACCGTGGGTGAGTCCACGGGGGTTATGTAAGGCCGTGGCACTCTGAGTGAACCCGGCTGGACACGTGACCGGATCAAGGTGGGGACCGGGGTGGGGCCCGGACACGCCGAGGCCCATATAAGCAGCCTCCCCACCGGGTTCGGGGCTGCTCGTGTCAAGAAAGAAGATCCATCGTGAAGACGCCTCCTAAGAAGAGTCAAGCCTCCAGTCAGCGGACCCGCCAGTAGCCCACCTGGCTGGGTCACACTAGTGTATCCGAGAGTCAGTGTTAGCGAGTGATGGTGTGTGTTAGTTAGAGCAGGTCGGTGGTTACCACCCTATGTTAAGTGTAACGTGTTGGTGTTAATAAATAGTGTTTCCTCCTAAGAAGTTGTGTCCGCTTATCTGAGCTCATTACTGGAGTATAGGTGCGAGCGAAGTGATGCATTGAGCGATATAAGCTGTTGGTCGCTATGCCCCACTACGATGCGTAACTTGCATTCGGCACTTGCCTGCACATGGCAATGTAATATTAAAAACTTGAAAAACTAGGGGTGGAAGGAAAACACGCTTGTGCAGGTCACCTCTTATGTTTTTCTTTTCTTTATTTCGGGCGTGTTTCGGTTATATCCGTCCCTTCCCTTTGTCATCCCCCCCCCCCTTACTTTAAATAAACTACCCTTACCCCTTTCGGTGGGGACCCATCTGGTTTGGGGCAGCGGGTTCGTTCCCCATCTCTCTATCCCCTCCTCTTCATAACCGGTTTGGTTTATGTTGACGGTGCTTACATGCATCCCAGCGTGATGTAACAGGCCCACGCATTGCCTCGTTAAAACAAAAACTTCCCCCACGCACCAAGGGCATGAAAAACTTTTTTAAAATTTACGGTTGAGACAGAATTTGTAAACAATTCGGGTGGGAAAACGTTCGGGGAAGCTTAAAACAGGAGGATTTTTTGCGACATAACAGCAAATTAATCGAAAGATGTGGGAAACAGAGAAACTGTTTGCACTGCCTGAGTAAATCCCTCGTCCGCGGGCTCGCCGGTCACTTCACCACACGACGCCGCATATTCCCCACCGCCACATGTCCCCGTAGCCCGTTGTGCTTTAGCTTTACACCAACTCAACTTGCAAACCCTCCCAGCTTCCCCCTTGGTTGGTGGTCACCACATCGGCACCACAGACGTAGTAACACTTTGCCCCCACCGCCCCCCCCCCCCGAATTTGTGTCTCGGGCTGACTGGTCATAATCCTGTTGCTGTTAAAACATTAAAAACAAACTGTAGGCGGGTTAATGCCTCGCACTGCTGTCACGCCTGCTTTCATCGCGAGTTAGACCGCATGTTCAATGACCTGCATGTTGAACTAAACTCTTTTTATTATACCAGGTAAGGCCCACTGACCGATCTAGAATGTTTTCAGAAGCGACTGGTCACAATTGATAGCTCAACGCAGTGGCTTATGTGGAAATTTATAGCAGCCAATTACTCTAAATGCATGTTGATTCTAAATGTGGAGGGAAAAACCGAAGGACCTAGAGAAAAAGCCACACGACCACAGGGAGAACATGTACACTCCAAATATACAGGAGTCAGGGTCGCGATCAAACCCACGACCTCCTACATACCAGGTGAGGGAGTTAACATCTTGCCACTGCGTGCATCATAAACACGCACGTCATGGCAGGTAAATTCTTCCATTGACATGGTGCCTCGCCTGTCAGTACGAGGTTAAATTATTTTACCGCCATTGGAATACATGCCGAGATGTTTTTCTCGGTGTTTTCTAGCTTTGTTCGTTCTGTAACGATGGACAAGTGGAAAGAAAAGGAGCTGCAGAAGATGCTTGTAGGAGGAAATTCCAAGTTCCGCGAGTTCCTGGAAACGCAGCCGGACTTCAATCCCAGCTGGTCCCTGCAGGACAAATACAACAGCCGAGCTGCGGCACTCTACAGGGACAAGGCAAGGCCCTCAGCATGGCTCTGCCTACACTCACACAAACCACACTTTTACGGTTTTCCCATTTCTTTATTATATGATTTTTAGGCCACATCTCGTCAAAAAATTTTTTTAAACAGTTCCATGACAGCATTTTGTAATCTCTGCGGGATATTGTCTCAGCTGTTTTTCCCAGCGCTGACGACTGCAGCGGTTTCGTGCGTTAAAACCGTTGCTTGTGTTTGCGTTTTAGATCGCTGCTCTGGCAGAAGGTCGGGAGTGGACCATAGAAACATCACTCGCCAGAGACTGGCTCCCCGCCCAACCCAAACTGTTCCCATCAGCCACACTCAAGTACGTGCACCGTTCCTGGTCTAAACACCACAGCCACTGAACCGGTTTCACGGTCATTCGCCTACCCAGGTCGTGTCCTGCCATCGTAGAGACGACAACTCAGAGCCAGCTCATGGTTGGTTTTGTGTCGTTAAGGCACTCATGCCGGGAAAACTACAGCACCGAGATCAGAATCAGAATCTTTATTTATCCTGGAGAAATCTGATGAGCTATGAAGCTCTATTTTTCACAGATGTCCATTAGGGGCGGCTCCGAAAGTTACAACAAAAACAATGCAAAATAACGATAGAAGTGCAAAGCTTAGGAAAGGTAAGCAAATCACAAAAAAATAAATTAATAAAACCGTATATAACTTCAAATTGGTTTAGTACACCAATTCCCAAGCTTGGCCATACATGTATCAGAATAAATGGGGACACTACAGGTCGGCAGGTCGTTGTGTAAAGTGTGGTTATTCCCACCTCTTCCAAGATGTCTGACCAGCATGGAAGATTTGGCTGAATAGGGTCTAAGAGGGGCTCTCTAGAGCTCCTCCTTTGGAGGCCCTTCTGCCAGCAGTAACGTGAGCGAGACTTTGCAGGGCTGCATGATTACCTTTTTATAACGGGGAAAAAAACACTGAACTGAAATTGCCCTCATCCTTCAATAAAAACCATCTTCACAATGGGGACGCGCCCAGGACTGATGATATCGACTCGTTTGGGGTCAGGGAATTGGACTTTAACAAAGTAACTTGAAAATACATGTCTGGCCCTTGAATACAGGTGCATGCGGAGAATGATAGATGTTTCATGGATAATGTAATACAAGTAATAACCGAAAATATAACAACAAAGTGTTGTAGATTTAATAAGGAAGAGGAGGTTGTGGTGGGTGGGACACGTGTTTAGGAGGGTTACCGAGACTGGCGCCGTGGTGGTAAGATGTTATTTTCCTTGCCTGGTATGGAGGTTGTGGGTTTGATCCAGACCCCGACGCCTGCTGTATATTTGGAGTTTGGGTGTTCTCCCCGTGGTCGCGCAGATTTTTCTCCAGGTCCTTCGGTTTTTCCCTCCACAGTTAGAATCAACATGCGTTTAGAGTATTCGGCTACTAGAAATTTCCCCACGATAAGCCACTTCGTTGAGCTATCATTTGTGGCCAGGTCACTTCTGAAAAAGAGCTATGAAGCTCGGTGGGCCTTACCTGGCAAAATAAAAAAAAGTGTAATAGTTTAGTGTTTAGTTTAGACCAAGGGAAGCCCACCATCCCGGTGGTGTGATTCTGTCAGGGCGCATTATTTGGTTACAACGGCTACAGGATTTGGCAGAAGTAACCGACGGTCAGGTGTGGAGGCATCTACATAATGGCCTGTTGACTGTAACAAAATCAAGCACTGTGCAAGTGGTAGAAATTGTACGTTCCATGGCGGGGATGAGTCCATCCACAGGAAAAACACTGTTGGCTTTCCCACAAAGTGATATCTATTTTATTGACCCCAGAGGGATGATGGGCTGAGTCATCTCCCAACCAGAATTTGACTAAACACCTGTCCCAACTATTGTGGGGACAGATTCCTTGCCCTGTGTGTCCTGTTCCAATTCCATTGGCAACTGATCTACAGGTCAAACTCACGTACAGCTACTGGAATTCTCATTGGTTAGTCTACGTAACTACTTGGTACAGGGTTAAGATGAAGGGATTGTGTGTAAATTGTATCGATTGTACTTTGCTGAAAATTGCATCTAACCTTTTCGTTGAATGTGACTTTGTCGCAAATTTTAGAAGTCCACCGTTTATGCAGTCATCCCAGACAAACCCAGACAACGGCTTTGAAGAGTGGCTCAATGAAGATGGGACTTCCTTCCAAAAGTGAGTGAACTCTGCATGCTGCTTCTTGTGTACGTGCCACACAATTGCGCTGGTTGTTGTGAATCGCCGCAGTGGTCTGTGCGTATTCATCTTTCTTCGTGCCTTTACGGTCATCGACTCCCTGTTCACAAGCAAGGACCTTCATGATCAGGATTTTAAAACACACAAAGGTGTCCAGTATTGTATTTACCGAAGCCCTCGGCATTATCGAGACAATCATCTCAAAGAACTGACTATGCTGCCATATTTGTCATGTAGAACACCTTCTCAAAGATTTGAGAATGTGGCCATCTCGACAGGCAGCAGTGACACAAAGACACAACTGCAGACGGTTTCTTCCTCATTCAGAATCGTCAGTAAAGCACAGTCATAAATGTTCATTGCTGCCACGTGCCTTTGGTACCTTCACAATTGTGGGCAGGTTATGCTGCAATGCTGCTGCACCTGAACCGTTAAAATATAAGATGGTGCCTTATCACCATTGCATCAATGCTAAAGACCCGTATTAGCACTCCCATTGAACGCTCCATCCTCCCAGCTCTTCATGGATAATGGGGAAGATTGTAGAGAGGGTGGAAGAAGTTTTGTACTGGGCAGTGTGCAGATGGCCTCCAATTAGCACGTTTGGCTACGTACGGTGCAAAAGAAGTTCAATATACAGTACATATGGCCTGCTCAGGTTTGGCAGCAGAGGTGTCACCCCGATCCAGTCGAGCGACATTGTTTTCATCAGCCGCATCCCACTGTGTAGCGCTGGCTGCCTGGCCTCCGCTGGGTTTGTGTGCTGCAGGGGCGCAGGCTATGGGGGACAGGGAAGTCGCTACGTGGGCTTCGGCAGTACCACGGTGACTGAGAAGAACACAGAGGAAGCGGCAAATAACAGTGTCTCTTCACTCCATTCGGTAAGTTAAAAAATGACGAAGCAGACAATGTGCATCCTACGCATATCCGTCCCTCCACATAACAAACAAAAGTGTTTTTTTTACACATCCCATCCACGACAGCCATATGGGAGGTACGTACATTTAGTAGCGTGTGTGTAGATTGGAAAACAACACGTCAATTGAAATTACAAATGTGCAGTTAAAACCAAACTTTCTTCTGCGGGATTATAAAAAAACTAATTATTTGAAATAAAAGAAAGGTAAATTATAACTTTCATTCTTTAATTATACTGTATATCCTAATCTCATTGAATTATCAAACACTGACTGTTCATTGGGGGAAACTTTTAGGTAAAAAACATGCAAATCCAACAGAGCTGTCATAATAGAATTTTAGTATGCAAAGATTTAAACAACGTTATTTGTGTGACCTAAGATGTGCATTGTGTTCTCGTACATGTGGGTTATTGTCGCACCTGTAATAATTGTGCTCCCAAGTTCCACGATGGTGATGATGTTCATGATGATGGTTATATGGGGAAGTGTTTGGATAGGAACAACAGTCACAAAACCAGGTCGAATGATGTTAACGAACAACCTTATACATACATATGTTATTGGGTGGCAGGGTGGCACAATGGTAACACTTGTGCCTCACAGCAAAGAGGATCTTGGTTCAATTCCTGACTTGGGCGTCTTTCTGTTTGCAGTTTCTATGTTCCCCCTCCCCTACCATTCTGCATGGGCTTTGTCCCGGGTTCTCCGGGTTTCTTAAAGCAAAAAAAAACACAATAGTATCACTGGTATTGGTCAAACATCTAAACTTAAACTAAACTAATTTTTATATTACCAGGTAAAGAGCTCTCGAGCTCTTTTTCATAAGTGACAACTCAACGAAGTGGCTTATCATGTGGAGGGAAAAACCGGAAGACCCAGAGAAAAATCCACGCCACCACGGGGAGAACATGCAAAGTCCAAAATATACAGGTGTCAGGATCGGGATCGAACCCACAACCTCCTGTATACCAGGCAAGGCAGACAAAATATTGCCACTGTGGTGCCCTCAATGCTGAAAGATTGCCTGCAAATTACTCAATTGGGATCACACACGGCAGCAACATCGCCCCTCTACTGCCAAAACTTGGCAGGTCCCTGCTGAAAAAGAATTGAGACTAAAGTGAGCCTCTCCTGGGTAAACAAGCATAATAATATAAAACAGTGGTTGGCACTATTCAAGTTGTTTCATTCTGATTTGTGTTGCTTTTGAAAGGGCTGGAGCAGCTTTGCGGTGGGAGCCAGCAAGATCGCTGCTGCAGCCAAAGAAGGGGTGAGAGCTGCGTGTATACCAATGTCACTTTCCTCGCACTCGCCTAGATTCTGATACTCAATGTATGCCACGCATCGTGCATCTACGAATCAATGATTTACAATGTATACAAATTACGTGCAAATGCACCTCATAGGCTAATATAACCATCGATACAAAATATATTATATCATGGGACCTCCTTTGCCAGTACCAAAATATGAGAATACGTTTTTCCCCTTTTATCTGGCAACAAAACAGGTGTTAAGTTGTTAAAACACCAAACTGAAACCTTTTATAAGGGATCATGTCTGCATTAACCACAATACCTGTGGTCAAAATGCAAACAAAAACATACTGTGATAATATATGCATTGTCTTTGAAACTAATTGGTCCACACCAAAGACAGCTTTATTTTGAGCCATATCTCAAATGGTGTTAGACTAGAGGACGCCAAAAGGCGTACAGCACAAAGACAATGCACTATTGGAGTAATGAGAGCTCGGGGTGAGCATCTACATCATGGGACCTCCTTTGCCAGTACCATTGTGATTAATGCAGACATGATTCCTTGTGTAGTGACATCGGGGATGTGACTGTATGGTGCCGGCCCGAGAGGGCCACGGCACGCGATGCACTGTCATCGCATACACCCCGTAGGTGGGTGGAGTACCAGCCCTAGCGGTGCTTGGCGTGCGCTGGGATAGCGCAGGCACCACGCATAGCGTGTAGTGCGGGCTCCCACAGGGGGGAGTAGGAGAGTGTCAGCCCAGGGGCAGGGTTGCCCCGGGCCATGGCACTCTGGTTGACCCCGCAGACACGTGATCTGGAGTGTCCACAGAGAGGCCCCCAGGTGGGGGGACCAGGGGGTGATCACGTGTCCGGGGAGAGCTCTCGAGAGGGATCGAGAGGGAGCTAGAAGGTTCCAGAAGGCAGGCGGGGCCAAGGGCGGAGCAGCCCCGACCCGTGGAGGGATATAAGGCGGGTCCCTGAGAGGGACCGGGGTCACTGCATCCGACAAGCTGAAGCTCCACGTCCTGAGAAACATCAACACGTGGTCGAGGACCCGAGTGAGAGGGCCCTACCCTCGGTAGCTGTAACTCCTCAGGAAAGCGTCGTTGGCTGGGTGGTCACCACCCTAGGCTGTATCTGGTGAAGGGGCAGTTACCCCTTTGTGTTAGGCGTTGATGTTTCATAAAAGTGTTGCCTCTGAAGAACAACGTCTGCGACTCAGTTGGACTCACTACACTTGTAATGGTTTCAGTTTGATGTTTTAACAACTTAACACCTGTTTTGCTGCCAGATAAAAGGGGAAAAACTTATTCTCATATTTTGGTACTGGCAAAAGAGGTCCCATAATGTAGATGCTCACCCCGAGCTCTCATTACTCCAATAGTGCATTATCATTGTGCTGTACGCCTTTTGGCGTCCTCTGGTCTAACACCATTTGAGATATGTCTCAAAAGAAAACTGTCTTTGGTGTGGACCAATCAGTTTCAAAGACAATGCATATATTATCACAGTGTGTTTTTGTTTGCATTTTGACGACAAGTATTGTGGTTAATGCAGACATTATTCCTTGTAAAAGGTTCAGTTTGGTGTTTTAACAACTTAACACCTGTTTTGTTGCCAGATAAAAAGGGAAAAACTTATTCTCAAAATCTATAATAGACAATAAAATAAAACATCACCAATGCAATTTAACAAAAATATATCTAATTTTTTATTAAAATCCATCTTCAGACTGTACGATTTAATTGATACATGGCTAAGGAGCATGATTCGTAACATCAGCGTTACCATCATCTGCATTGGCATCACAAACATTTTGTTAAAGGATTGTTGTTCTAGTGACCTCTCAGTGTTGGTCTTGAACTGCATATTTAGCTTTTGATGAAGACCAAATAACAGAGAAACCTTTTTTTATAATCTTAGCTTTCATATTTTCCTGCACTTATATATAAAAAATGAAATTCCACAAAACCCCTCCTTGAAACAATCTGAAACATTCCCGCATTAAGCCTTCTCTGACTCCACACTTTTTCACGTATATCATTCACCCCCCCCACCTCCCCACCGTACATTTGTAGCATCCGTTATGCTGATTAAGACATGCTGTACATCCCCCTCTGTGTGCCTCCACGTGGTGACATGCGTTGCGATCTTAGTTGCCGCCCTCTGAGTGCCGCTCCAATGCCGTTCTCTGTAATCTGCCCTCCTCCATCCTGTGCCCACGTCTCGCCCATCACCGCCCACTTTTCCCCACTACATTGTCAAAGGTTTCTTGCCATGTTCGATTGCGAACACCTGAGTTACTGACCCTATCCTTACATGGCATTCCTAGCATTCTCCCAAGTGCACCTTTATTCAGAAGGTGGACATTACTTTTATCGTTGCTCTGTTAAAGTCCCAACTCTCTGACCTGGCTTAAATGTAATGATATATGTGCACATATTTTATGAACAGCTCCGCATGACAGAAATAAATGTTCTGGATGTTATTGCACGTTTCAATAGGAATATTGTAGCTTATAGATCTCAATTACTACTGCAAGTCATGCCTGACCTCGCACATATCTTATCTATTTACCAGGCCTGACCTATTCATTCGGCTTGACCTATTCAGCCCGATTGGCTGGAGCACTTTGACACTTGGTTGTGTAAATATGCTTGATGACAGCACCGTCACTGAACACATTATACTGAAGGAGGGTCTATATGGGTAATACGTGGAACAAATAAGAAAAAGTGCACGACCCATGTTGTCTAAACAGCCTAAATAAGCCACGTATACATGGCGACTCCAGCTTATATGGGAAATAACGTAACCTTATGTGAACTGAACCAAAACGAACTCATCCGTTCATGCCCTGGCTTCGGCTCCATCGGCCAATTTCATTAAAAAACAAAGTGAAAGTCTCCCTTAATTGACTTAACTGAAATAGGAACCTATGATAATTTTGTATGTATCTCAAATAAAAAGATGATAAACTGAAAAGGAAAGACAATGAACATGCGTTTCACAAATGACGGTGGGCATGAAAGTATGGATTGTCGTCGGGAAGTGGTGGCTCACACCTGTAATCCAGCGCTCTGGAGGCTGTGAGGGTTGAAACTCCCTGCGGGCATCGATCAGCCATACCCTGGAACGCAAGATAGCAGTACAGAAAAATTGATTGCTCCACCTGTTCCGTCTGTATGAGATGTAGTGTTTCCCTCTCACACGTGTGGCTTTTCTCCAGGTGCTCCGGTTTTCTCCCGTATTAATTGACTGATAACACCTTCATATATAGAGAACACTGAGCTTGGGGGATTATTAGCACCGGCTGATGGTGTGGCAGCCATCCAGCTTGTCTGTGGTTGCTCCTCGCGCCTTTGAGTTGTTCTCGCACGAGAGCGTGCGAATAATGTGCGGCATGTTACAAGATGAAATCATTATTATCAGAGTACAATATATGGATAAAGAATCCCAAAAATGGACCTTGGAAAATGTTTTTTCATTTTTTATAAACTGTCCAAAGGCAAGTAAGAAACACTAATGTTGATGAGATTAATGGTGAAAATGTAAAAAACTAATTATTACAAAATTATGGTGCGCTTGGTTCAGAGTTTAATTTTCCTGTTTATTTCAGGCTGCCAAATTTGGATCGCAAGCCTCACAAAAGGTAATTGTGTATTCATTAATGTTCATATTACGTCCCTTCCCCCACGGGACTCTAAAGCTCTGGTGGACGTAGGAAATTTGACGGTGAATTGATATAGCAGAGTAGACTGCACGCTGCAGGGTTCTCCCCTCCCACGGTTCAATCGGACCACTCGGCAGCTTTGGGGCTTCGCACCGTTTAATGTTGTCATGCTACGATTCGTCATTGAACGTGTGGGAACCTTCGCTCCGTACAAGTGTGGTTTCCTGGTTGGGCTGCGCGTTCAGCATTTCCTCCCTTGTTTCCATGACGCACTACTGTGGGCATCTCGAGGAGTTGAATTCGAGATTAATATTTATTTCATTATTATTGCACTCGTTCACACAGGAAAGCCTCGCTAATTCGCATGACATTTTCAGCAGGGTCCTGCCCAGTTTTTGCAGCTGAGGGTAGTGATTGCTGCGTTTACTTTGATTGGGGTAATTTGTGGGTAATTTTCAAATGTTTATATTTCTGACCATGACGCCAACACACATTGGCCTTCTCTTGTTCATGATGTCATGGGATCTTAACGTTCTCTGTGAAGCAGATGAACGTTTTGTATTATTATGGTTCATACACTTGCAATATTAATCAGGGCGGGCGCTGGATTCACACCGTGAACATCTGCAGCAAGCGGCGAATGCGCTACCAGGAGGCTATGTCACCGTGCTAAGATGGTGCCTGCAGGTATGCGTGGCGAAATATTTAAATAAAAAATGCTCCACACTCAACCCAACCCAGAAAACTGCACCTAAATATCAAGCAGCTGTGAACACGTACGCGTTAAATCCTCACCACGTGCTCCATTTACGTGCAATTGTGGAACCTGCTCTTCGTGCTTGCTGCCTTGGGTGACACGTGGTGCCTCGACCTTTGTGCTCTGCCCGATCTGTTGCCTCGGAGCAGCTCTGGAAAAACAAGCAGCAGGTGCCCTACAAAAGCTTCACTTCCCAACACTCACTCTGATTGCGCACCCCGCTTTAGAGTTCCCGCGCGCCACGTCCGTGAGCCAGCGGGATCTCTCGTCGATGCCACAGCGAACACGTTGCTTTGTGTTTCATTCATTATTCATCCCTGCTGACATTTTTCGGTACACCATAGTTGCACTCGTGTCAATGCTTTAGGTCTCCGTGTGCAACAGCACGTGGCGGTAATATGTATGTATGTTGAACTACTTTCATGTATGATTACGTGTCTATGTTGAACTTCTTTTGCACTGTATGGAGCCAACCATGCTCATCGGAGGTGCAGGGGAAGGACAACAAACTAAACACAAAAAGCAGTTCTAAGGAAATTAGTTTGAAACCTAGACTTAACTAGACTTAAAAGTGAAGGACATGTGCGTGCAGGTGTAATACGGGGGGAGGGGTGATCAGGACTTTGGCACGTGCACACATATTGCTACTTTTCATTACTTTCTATTGCTCATTTCTATGACGTTTGCTTTTGATCCTCTTGTTGTGTTTGTCTTGGATGATTTTGGTGAGTAAACTTGCATTAACCAAAAATTATGCAATTCTTTTCTGATTTCTGCTGGTGCTTTCAACAATATGTATTGGTAAGTGTTTCCTGTAACTCAAAGCTTTTGAAAACATTTTCTCCAGAGTCACAGCTCAAATACTGGAACACTGCATGTGGAATTTAGCAGTGAAGCTGTCTTTAGATTTAAACATTTGATGGGGGAAAAATAACACTGAAACCTTTACCTCTTAATGTTCTTTGCAGTTTTTCAGGGACAAGGGATGAAAGGCTGGAAGGAAGTGACCTCCATGTTCTCGAATAAGCACGGAGGCCATGAGCGTCTCTCGGGAAACGACTCTCCTCTGCTGGAGGGGTGAGCATCACATCCGTGGCTGTGATTGACGTCATATCGCTGGTGGCTGTGCTGTACATGTCCTGTGATCCAGCATTGGGGGAGGCAAGGGTCAGTGGATCACACAAATTTGTGAAACTCCCAAACCCCCTAAAAACGATTTTATTTTATCAGATAAGGCCCCACTGAGCTATGTAGCTCTATTTCAGAAGTGACTTGGCCACAACTGATAGCCCAATGAAGTGGCTTATCATGTGGAAATTTATAGCTGCCAAATACTCTAAAACGTGTGTTTCTAGATCGCCGTCTCCTAGCCCATCATGGCATAGGGATTGAGTGTTGCCCCTTTTCCTTCTAGGGTTTCCTCCCACATGTATAACCACTTAGTCATATAATCCAAATATAGGGCCACAGAGCTTCGGAACCTATCTCCGTGCACTCAAACGATTGCGAGTGTGCTGTGCTCAAACGGGGAGCCTGAACCAGTGGCGGAAATTCTACATTCCTTTAGCGGGGGTGATTCTCTGATAAGGAAAACTCCTTTTGACTTTGGTGAAAGGGGTACTCATTTTATCAACCTGACGGATGATGGGCTGTGTTATTCTACAAGAATTTAAAATTGTAACCTTCCAATTGAGTAGAACCCTTTTGACACCAACCAGAATTGTAATACTGAGATATACATACAGTGATATATTGCAATTGTTTAATAATGCCACAGAAGGTTATCAACTTTCCTTCACCTATGAGCCCCATAGCAAAATGGCCGAGAGCCACAGGACTCACATGGGGCTCACACGGCTGGTTCACTCACACTTATTGGCTGTTCGGATCATTTGAGTTTAGAAATTTGCGGGAGTGCCCTGGGAGTGCTTGTGTCCCGCACCGCTGCCAGGGGCAAGTACCTTGCGCCATTCACGCTTCTACAAATGTATCTTGTTTCAAATAAAGTATTGAAAAGTTAATCATGAGCTGCGTCTCTATCAAGCCGCACTGGAGCTGCTCCGGATCCGCATGTGGCTTGCAAGCTGCGGTCTTGGCTGCCCCTGTAATGCGAGGCTAGTGTATTAACCCTTTCCCGTTTTCTCCTGATTCGTACTGATGACGTACGTGTACACCATCGGAAGAAAAAATAAAATGCATGAACTTTATTGGTACCGAGGCTCCCACAAGGCCATACAGGAAGATGTGTGGCACAGTGTGGCGCCAGCTATCGTAGAGTGCGGTCGTGTCGTTACAGTTCTCTGTGGTGGGTGCAACGGCTTTAAAAACAACGGCACTATGCATCTCTAAAGTTAACGCTGAACCGCTTACGCGTTCTAAGATTCAGCGGTGAACGGGATCCCACCCTGCAACTTGCAGTCATCTCCGAACGGGAAAGGGGTTAAAATTATGATGAATTGTTACAGCAGGGTAGAATGCACATTGTAGTTCATCCTCTCCCACAATGCAATTAGACCAGTAGCAACCGTGGGCAATGTGCGATTTAATTTTGTAAGAACGATTTATTCATTCGTACAACATGCCTTTCGTGTCATGTATCATCCAATTAAACAATTATAAACACTTGAAGATCCACAGATAAGAGAATACATGACACGTCCCTAGGCAGTCTGTATCTACGTTGGCAGCCCTGAGTCAGTGGTGGAAATTCCACATTCCCATAATGGGGACCAGCTCCCTCCACAGGATAAACGCTGATTCATAATTGCATTTTGGATTATACCACGGAATAATCTAAGCAAATATAGCAATTAATACAATTTATAAAGCGCCCTTAAACAATCGCTATGCATGGAAAGACGGATATAGTTTAACATCAACCAAGAAAATAAAAAAATGAGAGACGTTTGAAAATAATGAAAGAGAGAGAAAGCCATTTGAAACAGATAAGTTTTAGTCGAGATTTGAAGATCTCTAAGTGTCTTGGAAGTCCTGACCTCGAAGGGGCAATGAGTTCCAGAGTTTAGCTGCTGCAGTTGAAAAGGCACCGCTACCTCAAGTGTGAAGCCTAGACAGTGGGAGAGTGAGCAATGCAAAATCTGAAGATCTTAATGATCTTGATGGAATATATGGTTGAAGGGGGGTCATGCATGTAGGGAGGAGCAAGTCCATATAAGGCATTGAAAACCAGCAGGAGAATCTTAAAATCAATATGGGTACGGACAGGGAGCCAGTGAAGGGACAATTGTTAAATGCGGTTGTGAGAATTGCTCTTCAACTTACCAATGAGCTGACACAATCATAATTGGCACGTTAAACGCTTGCACACGAGCCATTTAATTTGCTTGGTTGTGTGGGGTAGTGAAGGGTCTTAACTACAGAGATTTGATCAGATCATTTACACTGCCTAACCTAAAATCTACTTTGAATTGTAATATTGTCTGTGAAAGTGCTGTGTTAAGTCATGAACTTCATTAGAGTACGTATATTGCACAGTTTTGATAGACCTAGGCTGACTGACCAAAATAGAAGTAAGAAAAAGCTTGCACCATAGAAGAAGACCTAATGATGGAGGCAGAGATGCGAAGTAAACTGGAATCATTTGCACACATTTGTAGGATGGACATCAACAGGAAAATTAAAAGTGTGTTGTTAGGAAAAATAGAAGGAACCGGACGGAGAGGAAGACCTGACAGAGGATGGCTTGACGACATCACAAGAGATTGGTGCCAGAGAGGCGTGGCACTAACTTGAGCATATTGGCACAAGACAGAGAAAAGTGGAAACAAATGACGAAATGTGCAGTGGACACCTACAGGGCTCTCTGCCCATTGATTGCGGTGATGTTGATAATGGAGGCTGACTGAGAAATATGTCCGGGTTTGGTCTGATGAAAAAGGTGGCAAACCCTACTACAATCACGCCCAAAGTTTAACTTTTGACCTCCACCATCCCATCGCTTTGTTTTCCACAGGTCGGCAGCTGGAGAAGGGGAAGCTGCGGTGAGCCAAGAGTTTTTTGCAAAGAAGGAAGGCCAGCGGTCTCCAAAAGCCGAGAGCTGGGTTTCATTTGGAGCACGGTCTGTTGGAGAAGAGGGACAGACAAAACCCAAAACGAGTTCAGAGGGCTGGCAGCCTCTGCAGTGCGACTCTCCTCCAGATAGCACCGAAGTGGAAGAAAGCTGGGATGAAGGGGAGGAGGGGAGCGCTTCTGCAGGTGCAGGAGGAGGCAGCAAACCAGGAGGCAGTGGCAGTGGTAAGGGCATAACCTATGGAGTGAAAAAGTCCAACAAGATGGGGGATGAGTGGGGTGATAAGGATTGGCAGCCTATATATTAAGCCTATATATTCATACTGCCCATATGTGTGCTGCCACGAGCGAAGTTCTAGCATAATATGTTCAGTGCATTTCTTAGGGTTGTCAGAAATTCCAAAATGCTGGGTACAGAACACTAAGACGTTAACCGGTATCGTCACGCTGATACGGATAAAATAATCACTGATCAGTGTGCTATAGCTATAAAAAGCTCAGTTGTATTATTGCTGGTAGTGCTACATTTGTAAGAACTTGACAAAGGCTGCCTGTAAAAAGTGTAACAGTTATTACCCCAAAAGTAATTGCTCCACCCAACGTTTAGCTATTGTAAGAACCAAATGTTTTCAATTACTTTAATTACTTTAGATTCTGAAATAGAAACGTTTCCAGTTTAATTCAAGGCAATGATGAGAACATTATTTAGTTTGCCATTTTATTTCTCAGTTCAGGTAAAGAAGCAATGTTTGTCATGATATAGAGATACAGTGTTTAGTTTTAACGGTTTTCAGTGTGTTGCAGCATTGTTGCAGGTTGAAGGCTGTACTTGTCTTGTTGTATTTTGGGCTTTTGACCAGATTCTGTATGACGTGTTGCACTGGACATGCATCCAAGGTAAGTGTCTGGGTATTTTTGATGGAAGATGGTAAAATTGCTTGTCTCATTGATAGCATATAGCACAGCAACTCTTCATTGAAAGCACATTTGATATAATAATAATAGGGTTTTTCCCCTTTTTTTGGCAACAAAACTGAAACCTTTTTATGAGGATTCATGTCTGCATTAACCACAATACTTGCAGTCAAAATGCAAACAAAAAACATACTATGATAATATATGCATTGTCCTTGAAACTGATTGGTCTACACCAAGGGATGGCTTTCTTTTGAGCCTCGACCCAATTGGTGCTCGACCAGAGGACACCAAAAGGCATACAGCTGTATGCCAAAAGGCATCCTTTGGTGTGGACCAATCAGTTTCAAGGACAATGCATATATTATCATAGTATGTTTTTGTTTGCATTTTGACTGCAAGTATTGTGGTTAATGCAGACATGAATCCTTGTAAAAAGGTTTCAGTTTTGTTGCCAGAAAAAAGGGGAAAAACCCTATTATATTTTGGTACTGGCAAAGGAGGTCTAATGATGTAGAGACACTTTATATTTTAACAAAATACCATCCTCGTCGATTGGAATCCCCCCTCGGAGAACTTGAGCTACATATCTCATGAATATGAGAGCCGTGAATGACAGTACAGCCACACGTTACACATCGCAGAGCGTTAGTTGTGACATTCCTACATCCAGAGCATTTTAACGCTCTCACACCCACACTTCCAGAACTAGGCAATCAATGCAAAAACTAATGAAAGTCCGAAATTCATACATGCCCATTAGTAGATTATTTAGAATGTTTGGCTAATATAAATGTCCACGTGACGAGCCACTTTGTTGAGCTATCATGCGTAGCCAGGTCACTTCTGAAAAAGAAGCTAATAGCTCAGTGGGCTTTACCTGGTAAATAAAAAGTTTATTTTTAAAGTTATTTGCTTACCCTTCCTATACTTTGCACTCATATTGTGTTTTTGTATTGTGTGTCATTATAACTCTCTGATCCGCCCCTACTGGACATCTGTGAAAAAGAGCTTCATAGCTCATCGGATTCCTCCACTATGAATACAATTCTGATTCTGTATAATCCTTGAAAACCCTGTGACAGAATGTCCTCCACCAATCGTAAATTGGCCAGGTGGCTCAGCAGTCGACAAGCGGTTCCCAAACGGAAGGGGTGTGAGTTCAAATTCTGGTCAGTGTTTCACCCGGCTCATCATCCCTCCGGGGTTAGTAAAAGTAAAAGAAGTCGCACTTTGTGGGGAGGTCAAGTGGTTATCCTATGGATAGACTCACCCCCACCGTAATAATGTAGAATTTCCACCACTGGCTCAGGGCTGTAAACAGGAGATGAGAAGCACATCGCAATGCTCATTTTCCAGGATATCACTTTGACTTTTGATTTGCTGCCTGAGAAACGGACTTGGACCACACGGTTCAAGAGGATGTATCCAAAAGGTGTTGGGATGGTGCCAGGACAGCTCCAGGCTGGCTGCAGCCTGGTCTTGAAACTGCATGTTTAGTTGAAACATAGGACTAAGCCCCTCCCAACAGAGTTTCTGTCACACCAAATTACAATCTCCCTGACACCCAATGTATTTGAGTGTTCGGTGCTGTGTTAAGACGCCAGTTACGTCGCTTGCTTGATTGAAATATGAAGTGTGAAACAACTGTTTGAAAATTGTTTAATTTGCCTCAAAACCAAAAGCGTATTTATCGTTGGTTTTTAAAAAGTTAAACCTATAAAATGTCTCCCTGCCATGACTCATATCCTCCATGAATCGTTTGAGGTTAGAGTGCGTTTTGTACCGTATTTTCAATCACAGAAGTGGTGTATGCATACATGTAAGTGTTTTAAACGTTATGGCAATACCTGAAATGGAAACTGGTCTCCCATATCGACAACAATTAAACTGTCAAATTGTCCTGCACAGCCAGTTTGGCAGTAATATTTTACGCATCGTAAGCAGTGATCCATATCCTGTTTTTAGTGTGTAATCGTTTACATGGCATGCATCAACTGATTACTTTTATAATGTTTTACACAAAATGATTGTGCCAAGCAATTAATGCGAAATCAAGTTGACAGCATTTGTTTAATGCGAGGATGGCATCAACGCAAAGCTAATTAAACATCGGTACCAATCGTTGGAAAATATATACCACAAAGCAAATTAAACTAATTCTTAGCAATTAATCCAGTACTGGATGAAATTCTCCCCATGCCGTGTCGGTCATGGGGTTGTTTAACCATATTTCACCATGCAGGTCAGTGCGGGTTAATAAAGGGGGCCCCAGGATTCGGAAATCTCACCAATGATTCTACCCGTATGTAGGTTTTCGCAAGTTGTGCCCGCTTGCGCTCTGGTGTGCTTTCGGGTTGCACCGAACAACACTCGGTACACACCTGAAAACATATCAGAGGGCTGTACTCACCACTGATGTTGTTCTGGCCCGGAATCGAACTTATGATTTATAGTGCAGTGCACTAAGCACGGTGCCACCGCTCCACACACCATAAACGAATACTGTTTCACTCTTAATTTTAAGTAATCAAACATTACATTTTTTACTCGTAAAATCGCAAATAAGAAATTATCTATGAACGTGAGTAATCAGACCGATTACCTTTTAAAGTACCCCGGAATTGCCTATGATAATAAATGAGCTTTACTAAGTCCACCTCGCAGTCGTGTGTGCATAGTGAGTGTTGTGTGTGTGTATATCTGAACCTGGTGAGGCTGTATCAGCTATGGAAATATTCTTGCATTCAATTAATTACAAAAGCCTCAAAACCCTGTGAACCTAATATAGTGCAAAGATTAAGGATCCGCATCACTATGCATTATAGTATCATGAAAAGTGTGGCTTTCATAGCCAGATATTGAGTAACCTTTTAGTCAGTTTGTCCTTCCGGTAATGTTGAGTAAGATTTTTGTTGTTTACTTCATGTAAATTGTCAGCAATTTAACATGCAATTAACAGTTTATCCATTCTACATTGTAACCGGACAACATCGCCAAACCTCCAGTATTTGTAGTTATGCACAGCAGCTGAAACTTCCCAGCGGTACAATATTCTGTACATCAGTATATCAGTACACGGGCTGAACGATTAATCGATTTAAAATCGCAATTTGAAACAATGCCATTAGCAAATCGCAAAGGCTGCGATTGTTTTCGATTTTAAAAGTCCTATTACTTGCTTATTGGAATTGTTTTTTTAATTATAACTTTTTTTTATTTAACTTAACAATTGTTCATCATAGAGGTTTTTGGGTTAGATCGCGTAAATATATAAATGTGTCGTTAAAACCCACCAACACCCAACACAGCCAACTTTACAATCTGCGTACTCAGATTGTAAATGTTGTGGCTTGGCTTTTTAACACACCGGTGTGCTGTACTAGTGACGAATTGGCATGTGCTGTTTATGTGACAACCCTTACTAGTTGGCTGTATCGGGTGGTGGCGAGTTTTAACAACACATTTACGCGATCTAACCCAAAAACATCTATTATGGATATTGGTCGCGAAAGCCTACGTGTTAAACTTAACAATTGTTCTATGTTTTGTTCTATTTCAATTAAAATATTTCTATAAATACATGTTGGAAGCAATTCATATCTTTTAAGTTATCATCCTTGCATTGGAATTTATAGAGCAGTTCATATTTTGATGGTATGTGGTAATGCTCCATCACATGTTTTAAATCTATTACACAGTGAATATTGAACTGAAGCTTGACTTAAATGTAATCGCAAATCAAATCGCAATATCTGTCAGAAAATCTCAATTATATATTTTGCCCAAATCGTTCAGCCGTAATCGGTACCTTAAACGTATACAATATTTCTGGCGGATGCTTGGGACGCGCAGTATGCTTCACAACTGCAGCCGTTTTTCGCTGTGAAAGAGCTTTGGCTAGAAATATGAAAGCTTTATTGTGTTGCACTCTGTTCAATTGCACAGACGCTTTATGAGCTTGTGGGTTGCGTTTAAGCTTACAGATTTAAATTCTCACCACTGTTCAATTACGTGAGGAAATTCTGTTTTGTAATTACTGTGAAGGGAACTTATAAAAGAGCCACATGCGTAATGTGCAATGTCATTATTTTTGTAAACACTCAAATAGAAATGAAAATTGCTTTTTTACGTCTGACATCGTCGTGTATATGTTTAAGCTTGCATGTGCTTTTAGCTGTGCACATTTCACAACTTGGCAGTCTTGATATAATTAAAGTTTAAACAAAAAGCATGACGGTTTGGAATGTTGCTCTTTCTCTATTAACATAACGGCACTCGCCCATATTCAAGTGCTTTCGAGGCTGGGGTTGATGATAGATCTGTGAATCTCCAAAACTAACTGAGCTGTGAGGTCAGATGGGAGTACAGCAAGTGGATTTATGAACCCATAGTAGACCGATGCGTGTATTGCCCCATGAAATTGGGGTTCCTCTGATTAATTATTCGAGTGTAATTTCACTTGCAAAACACTCCTGTCACAGAAGTGGACAAACATACTGAAGCAGACCTTCCGTGAACATTCATGCATAAATCAATAACATTGTTTACGGAATACAGTACATTGTCTACATATAAGCAACCAATTATCTGTATGTGCAGATCACTCCTCATAGACTGCTGCACAAATTTCAATGAAGTCTCGCATGAAATATTATAAACTGTTACTTTACTTCTAAATATTTACATATATATTTAGGCCTCGAATGGCTGCATTAGTTTCTCCTGAGTCGAATTCTTTATCACAACGTACAAAGGCTAGACGCAATGGTATTTGGAACACATTGATGCGTTCCATTATACTGGTAGGAACCTCCTGGTTACACCAGCCCACAGGGGATTATTGTGTCCGTCCGTCCGTCGTGCATCCAAAAATGGGAGGGGTGGGTCGGGTGGAGAGGGGAGGGTGGGGAGGGGCTGGGTGGGGAGGGAGGGGAGGGTGGGGAGGGGCTGGGTGGGGAGGGGCTGGGTGGGGAGGGGCTGGTCACCCCGTGGTGCCCTTATAAAACTCAACGTGTAACCTACTCACGCCAGCTTGTGCCCGCCCTGACAGTCGGGCATATTTGCGGAATACACCACGTGGTGCCGCCGTTGACCCTGGCCATTGACCGAGCAACCCAACGTTCCTACCAGCCCCCTCCGCAGGAATGTGTTACAGGGTGGTCCAGACGTCTTGTCACCCCCAATTAATTGGCCTCTAACATGGGTTTTCTTTGCATATTCATTATATTTCATATAAACCTTACTTTTAAAGAAATATATTACGTTTTACAGAATTAAATGGGGGGGGGGGGGGGGGTCACAAGATATCTGGACCACCCTGTATGGTGGACGGATGAACCTTTTGATGTGAAGCCCGCGTGGCTCTGCGGTTGCCGTCGAGTCGTGTGGACTCTTCCGTCCCCTGTTTCAGCGATGTTCGTGCAGGTGCGATCAGAGATATCATGATGGCCCTGCACAATGGGGCACATCACCAACACGCGTCTACACGACTGTAGTGTGCATTTATTGACGCGGGTTTACCCAGAAATCCTCATGGAGTCTCTAACTCTTACCGGGGGAGTCTTAGCCAAGTTTCGCGGTAGGGCGGTAGCGATGTTGCTGTCCCCGGTGTGATCCAAATTGAGTCATTTTTACAGTGTTGGGATTTTTGGATAATACCAGAAACATGTGTTTAAATTATTTAGATAATTTCACTGCTGTACATTTACACATGATAAGCCAATTTGTTGAGCTATCATTTGTGGCCAGGTCGCTTCTGAACAATAAGCTGTGGGCTTTACCTGGCAAAATTAAAATATATATAATTTAGTTTGCTTTGTATATTTTAAGTGATTTGCTTACCTATCCTATGGTTTTCACTCCTATCGTGGGTGGAGAGGGGAGGGTAACGTTCTGAACGGCCCCTACTGGACATCTGTGAAATAGAGCTTTATAGCGCAATTCTCATTCAGTTCCACTGCGTGTGTGGGTTTAGCTATGGGAGGACACCGGGGAAGAACCCACGCAGAGCAGGAAAGAAGATGATGACGGACGCTTGTGTTGCGCCCAAAACTTCGTGATTTATTTTATACCTACGTGACTTTACCGAAAGAACCAAAGAGTAAGAAATACAAACTCCACACAGAGGCGCGCGAGTGGGGGGGGGGAATCCAAACCCGGGAGGACGCCTCTTGCCGTGCATGTGCCGACCCTCGGTCACACCACAGCGCGCCCCCACGCGGCCGCTCGCGTGGGGAACCCCTCGAGCGGGCCCATGAACTAAACAAGATGGCGCGCGCAGCTGGTGGGGGGGGGCATGAACTAAACAAGATGGCATGCGCACCTAGTTGGTGGGGGGGGGCATGAACTAAAAAAGGTGGCACGCGCAGTAAGTGGGGGGGGGGGGAGAGGCATGAACTAAACAAGATGGCGCGGCCAACTGGTGGGGGGGGGAAATGAACTAAACAAGAGTGGCGCGGGCAACTGGTGGGGGGAGGCATGAACTAAACAAGATGGCGCAGATGGTCAGTGGACATGAACTAAACAAGATGGCGCGCACAGCCAAGGCCACACCTCGTCTAGGCCGCATCCGTGTCACGTGGCGGGGCAGTGCCGCGCGACGCCGCGGAGACCGATTCGCCGCGGTCGTCTCCGCGGCCGCTCGCGGTTCGGTGTCACCAACGCGAAGGTTCCACCTCGGCCGCTCGCCCTCGCCCGCAACTCACTGGCGGCGCCTGCTCGTTCCTGTGGGCTCTGCCCTCGCCTAGCGCCGTGGCTGGAACGCGTTGTTGCGCTGACGCGAATCGGCGCCGCTCCGATCGGCGCTCAGCTGCGCGGGACTCGACTTGTGGGCTGAAGGCAGCACAAGGAGAAGAACTAATAACAGCATCGCGAAAGACGGGGGAGAGTCACCCACCCCGTGAGAGACAAGACGGGAGAGTCACCCACCCCGTGAGAGACAAGACAGGGGAGTCACCCACCCCGTGAGAGACAAGACAGAGGAGAGTCACCCACCCCGTGAGAGACAAGACAGGGGAGAGTCACCCACCCCGTGAGAGACAAGACAGGGGAGAGTCACCCACCCCGTGAGAGACAAGACAGGGGAGAGTCACCCACCCCGTGAGAGACAAGACAGAGGAGAGTCACCCACCCCGTGAGAGACAAGACAGGGGAGAGTCACCCACCCCGTGAGAGACAAGACAGGGGAGAGTCACCCACCCCGTGAGAGACAAGACAGGGGAGAGTCACCCACCCCGTGAGAGACAAGACAGGGGAGTCACCCACCCCGTGAGAGACAAGACAGGGGAGAGTCACCCACCCCGTGTGAGACAAGACAGGGGAGAGTCACCCACCCTGTGAGAGACGAGACGGGGGAGAGTCACCCACCCTGTGAGAGACAAGACGGGGGAGAGTCACCCACCCTGCGAGAGACGAGACGGGGGAGAGTCACCCACCCTGTGAGAGACGAGACGGGGGAGAGTCATCCACCCTGTGAGAGACGAGACAGGGGGAGAGTCACCCACCCTGTGAGAGACAAGACGGGGGAGAGTCACCCACCCTGCGAGAGACGAGACGGGGGAGAGTCATCCACCCTGTGAGAGACGAGACAGGGGAGAGTCACCCACCCTGTGAGAGACGAGACGGGGGAGAGTCACCCACCGCGTGAGAGACGAGACGGGGGAGAGTCACCCACCCCGCGAGAGAGAAGTCAACCCTGAGTCTCAATACCAGGACAGCCTGCCTCACTGCAGGGTCAACGCTACGATAGTCAACCCTGAGTGAGTTACCCCAAGTCACCACACAGGAGCTTAACGAACTGTTGAGAGTCGCTGCCCCATGAGGAGGGGTTCCCCACGGCGCCGCGAGGGGCGGTGAAGCTTTGGGTGAGCAGCTCCCCGTCGTGTCTCTGTGTCTCTGCGTCTCCCAATTGTTTCCGTGTATCCCTGTCTCCCCGTGCCCGTTGTCTCGCGGTCTCCCCTGTGTGTCCCCATGTCACCTCTCTCTTCCCCGTGTCTACTTTGTATCTTGAGTGAGCCCAGCAGGCTCCACGAGTCCACGGTGTTGTTGATGTCCTTGTTGTGTACCCGAGTCGCGTTGTTGGGCAAGGGAGCCGCCCCGCGGGCCGCGTGTTGGTGGTGCCGCGCCCTCGGGGCTCGCAGCAGCGGCAGTGCCCTCGCCGGCAACACACGGGAGGGAATTATTGTAATGTGCATTATATTCCGTGGTTATTTTAAAGTAAATAAAACTGATGTAAACGGTCAAAACAGTAAAAAACTAATTCCCAGTGTTATTAATTCCGAGTGTGTGTGGCAATTCCAAAATCGATGTTGATGGAAACCGATTCAACAAGAAATCTAAATGTGGAAATGCTCGTTACTCTTTGGGTTTTTTTCGGTAAAGTCGAGCAGTTTTTTCTTGCTGTGGTTGTCCCACCTGATGACGATTGCTTGTGTTGCGATCGAAACGTCGTGATCTATTATTTTTCTACCTACGTGACTTTACCGAAAGCACTAAAGAGTGTGGATTCCTGCAGTCACTAAAGCTTCAAATCAAGATTGAGATGCTCGTTGTTGAACTCCCGTGGACACTTGTTGCCGCTCCAGCCACACCACCACCAACAACTCTCGCTCCTACCGCCACACCACCACCAACAACTCTCACTGCTTCCGCCACACCACCACCAACAACTCTCACTGCTCCCGCCACACCACCACCAACAACTCTCGCTGCCTCCGCCACACCACCACCAACAACTCTCGCTGCTGCCGCCCGCTGCCAATAGCCGGAGCGAAAAGGATGCAATAATGCTAGCCCTGCACGATAAGCCCCAGACAGTCCGCCTCCTCCACTTGTTTGTCCCTCCGCACAAAAACAAATCAACGTATTTTATACACATCCTGTCACCCACACGGGCCTTCTCTGGGAGTGCATAATTTCAGCAGCAGTATTAAATACAAGCAAAATATGGACCAGTTTTGACATTAAGTGTCTCATCAAGCAGTGTCAGGTTTGCTTGAACCAAAGTTCTAAGTACAGTTTGCAGCATTAGTATACATTATTTTTCGCTCGTCTTTTTGGATAGATTTTTCACGTTGTGTGGATCTGTATGTAATGTTGTGCACCTCTCTCTTGTTGACATTATTATGGAGAATGTAACTTTTTGTTTACGGTTTTCAGGGTTCTGGGAAGAGTTGTCTCAGGAGTGAACCACGTGGATACCGAATGTCCAGGAATGAGCAATCAGCAGCAGGTGAGATAGAGAACATCTCGGTTGTTAAACTGATTTGATTTAAAGCAAATGTAGTTGTGTGTCGGTAAGATATGCTAAATTTTCCTTGAATGTTCGTATTTTTCTGTATTGAGTACTGGAATTGAAGTAAGTCATTTTGAAATTTTTTGGATATATTAGTTGTCAATGTGGAATATAATAAGGTTTTTCCCCTTTTTCTGGCAACAAAACTGAAACCTTTTTACGAGGATTCATGTCTGCATTAACCACAATACCTGCAGTCAAAATGCAAACAAAAAACATACTATGATAATATATGCATTGTCCTTGAAACTGATTGGTCCACACCAAGGGACGGCTTTCTTTTGAGCCTCGACCCAATTGGTGCTCGACCAGATGACGCCAAAAGGCATACAACTCAAAGACAATGCACTATCAGACATGAATCCTTGTAAAAAGGTTTCAGTTTTGTTGCCAGAAAAAAGGGGAAAAACCATATTTTTACATTTTAGTACTGGCAAAGGAGGTCTAATGATGTAGATGCTCACCCCGAGCCCTCATTACTTTAACGCTTGGTGAATTAATTCATGAATGTTTGACAACTCTTATATTAATTTGCCTGTTTGTTTTTTATTTATTGTTTAAGTCCTCAACGGTGACACACATTAACAATAACTCCTTATTTACATACGATTGTCTGTGCGAGAGTTTTCGTGATCCCCGCTACAAGTTGGGAGAGCTAAAGCATTATCGCTTTTATAATGGTAAGCATTACGAAGGACTTGTTTATTTTCAACCCATTTGCTATACGTGGCGAGTTTGCAGATAGAGGTGAGCAAGAGGAATGCCATGACGAGGCAGCGTGTGGCTTCATAGTGACGCACCACCACCACCACCGGGCAGCCTCCACGGAGGACAATGCAGGTACGGCTCCTGCTGAATGCATCTGCAGAAGTCGGCCAAAATAGTCTTGGGTTTGCAGATATTGTGTCATAGTTATAAGGTCGCGCTCACAAATGAACCACGACACTTTGGTAATCTCATTGAGGAGCATAAACTCTCACCCAAACTCCGGTCATCCTCGTAGCAGCGGCTTTTGGCTAACCATCGATCAAAGATGATTGCTGCATCGCACGCTTTTAGATGCGCTTCTGCGGCTATCTGGAATGCTCTTCCTTCCGATATTAGGAAGCCAGTGGAGCTACACACTTTTAAATCTAAATTGAAAACGAATTTCTTTAGAATGTTTTTTTGTGTTTAGTTTGGTGGATCATACAAATGTGAAACTTTCTTCGCCGTGAGCGTTGAGGAGGTGCCATACCCTGGCTCGTCAGGAGAAGCTGGTACAGCAAGTGGACTAATCGCCATCATTTTCCATCTGTACGGGGATAGAGTGTTGCCCCCTCACGTGTCTGGGTTTTTATGCAGGAGGTCCACTGTCCTCCCACATATATCTTGATAATCTAAAAACATATTAAAATAAAAACAATGCAGGACGCTTTTTCCTGAATAAATAACTAATTATTATTTGAATTTTTTTTTTCATAATATGATAGCATGTCTTCCATGGAAGAGACACCTTTCCTCAACCCTGCTGCTTCTATGGTTGATTGTTTCATAATTATGTTTCTGTGATATTTGTCAACATTGTCAATATGTACAACACAGGGCTTTTGTTTGTCGCACCCTTCTATCCCCGACTCCATACAGTCCCAAACCAATGCCGTGCGTACGTGTTGAGTGATATACACCAAGGAAATTGGAATCACACCATTGAACCTTAGTTGTAATTCAGAGGGTACCATAGAAGAGTTCATGCAACTTTTTATTTGAAGAGCATTCTAAAAAAATTACCAAGACTATTATTTCTCTGCCCAATGACTTAAGAGCGATTACGACTCAGAGGTGCCAATTTCATGTGCACTGAATAATTGTGAATGGCCAAACACGTGCTCTGCACTAACTGTTTCGTTTTGTTGATGTCCAGGTGACATGGAGGAGGGATTGGACACTAAGTCCTTGGATAGAGGCACTGGTCGTCTTGAGGAGCCTCGTGTGGGTGGGATGAAAGATAACATGGCAAACAGAGACACAGAGCCTGCTGGCAGCGCTGACCTTGCTGTGCCTGCTGCCGCTGCTGCTACTACTGGTGGTCGTGATGGTGTTCCTTCTCCTGAAATTGCTCCATCCATTTCTACTGCCTGTGTGAATACAGACACTCCCACTTCTGAGGAGTCAAACATGGACACAGAGCCTAAGCAAGAGAAGACTGAAAGTGTTGGATTACAGAGTGGGCCCATTAAAAAATGTGAGAACTTAGGCCGTGCGGGTGATGAGAATGATGTGGGGTTACCTGGGCTGACTGCCTCGCTGCAGGGTCTTTCGCCCGGCTCGTTTGGTAGCGATGATCAGGAGGAGTTACATTTTAACCTTGCGGTTAACGTGGAGACGGTGAGCAGGGCGACTTGTCATCCTGTTGCCCAGCAGAGGATGTGTGAGATTAACAACGCACAACGGGATGAGGAATACAACACTGAAAATGTGGACCACGTCTCAACTCCAAATACTTGTGGGAAAGAGGCAGTAGATCAGTCAATTGATACAGCCTTTCAATCCAAGTCACGCAATGCGAGGTGTAGTTTAAAACTTGATTTGAATAATGTAACTAATTTACATGAATCTCAGAGTATAGCATCTGTTGAATGTGATATACTGGAGGTAGATTCGCACAATGTAAGTTACCAATTGAAATGCCCCGAAGGTGTGGATCACGACAGATTAAATCACAACATGGATACAACAGCTGTGGCAACATCCGAAGGTGTGGTTTGTAGTGTACATCCCATTGAACATGAGGGAAACACTAGACAAATCTCAGAGCCCACAGTGCACATTGACGAGGACAAAGACAATGCACGATCCTTTGCAAATGCAACAAAGGGACATAATAACACGACATCTGCAGAAGCTACAGTTGCATTGGAGATCAACCGTGGCGTTAAACATTCACAAACAGCACAAGATGTTTTGCAAGACAGGACAGGGCACACAGCTGACAACGCGCACAAAGTAAAGGAATTTGAGTCGTTAGGACAGGCGCCTCTTCAGTCGATGTACGACTCGACAGATGTGGCCGTTGCAGACGGCAGTGCAGAGAGGCAGGGCCTAGGCAGCGTAGTTTGCGCAGGCGAAGACGTGGCAAAATGGATCAGCCCCGCCAGTCGGAGGCTGCGAATTAACCCCTTTAATAACATCCCCGAAGCCGAGCTCAACCTGGAGATCTGTGAAAATCACTTTGGAGAATCTGGTCATGGCCCCTCGAGTGGCGTGCCGGGCACCCGTCAGCAGCACATCTTCCCAGAGGTGTACGTGTGCAGTAAGGGAGGGGCGGCGGCGGCGAGTGCCGCGCCCGCGAACACGCCCAGGGGGATGTGGCGCATGCAGGATAGCCGCAGCCTGGATGGCATCAGCCAGCTGTACGTGCTCGGGGGGGCTCGGCCCAAGGAAGGGGGGCGGCCCGACGGGCGTCGTGCCACCATATCCAGCGCGCTAGAGCTGGAAGGAACCGTGACGCACGAGGGAGAGTTGACGCACTTTGTGGCCGATGACCTCCTGCAGAAGATCAAATTGAGCTCGAGCAGAAACCTCGATGGTAAGTCTCTCACCAACGGGCGGCAATCCGGCAGCGCCTCCAGCGCATGCTCTCCGCCACGCCTACGGAGGTCGTCCACGACCCAATAGGACATGAAAACATCGTTCAAGGCGATTCGTCTCGTGCGCCAATTGTTTATTGCTGGAATGTTCGTGATTTATATGTTTTAAGAGTGTTTTACACCTAGTAGGCTTTCGTGAGCAATATTCATAATAAAGTTTTTTTGGGTTAGATCGCGTAAATATAAATGTGTCGTTAACCCACCACCACCCGACACAACCAATTGGTAAGGATTGTCACGTAAACAAAACGTGCCAATTAGTTACTATTTCAGCACACAGGTGTGTTGGAGAGTAAACCCACAACATGGTAAACTGGATAACCGGGTTTTGCAAATTTAGATTGTGTAATAGTCTATTTACACTATGATACAGAGAAAAACTAAAACATCTTATTCGCCCTGATATAACTTGAATTAAGCCATGTAATGGATGTACATTTTTTATTGATTTAAAAGTACTCAACTTGCTCTATGCGGGTGGTGAAATTAGTTTATACAACACTCGTCAGAACACTTGCTCTCTACAACTCTGATTGATTTCTAAACCATTAACATTTTATGGATCTTTAATATCTGCTGATGCATTGCCGTTACACTGGTTAAATCTACCTTCGTTCAGCAGAATACAATACTGTTAAAGTACTTGAAAGACGAAAATTCCAGCTTTATGTTGTACTTTCAATGGTAACTGATCCGTATATAGTGTGGTCAAGTGGATACATAATTTGTTTAACCACAACCTCGTATGTGGTTTCCCATCATGAGACTAGATACTGTATTTTACGTGTGTGATGTGTCCGATACCCGCTCAATAATGTTACAGAAAGATGTATGGGCAGATAGGCATACATCGTAATGAAAGAGTTTTTGCCTGCCAAAAAAATATTGTAAAAACGAGCCAATTTTATTATTGGGCTTTGGCTCCCATATCATTGGTCAAAACCCAAACAATTAACAGAGAGGAGTAAGAAGACACAATAGGAAATTTGATAAGCACAACAATCATGGGGGCTAATATAAGTAACAAAATAAACTGCCAAAACACATCCAATATTTTTCCTTCGTATGAAAATAAGTATATTACACCACTCATCCGCCACATCGTCGATGACCCAAATCTAACAGAAACGGTCCTTGCATATAAACAATTGGCATTTCACCATTATTGGTGTAAGCAAGACTGATGTGACTTGCTATTGACAGCAAGACTGACTGCTGATGAGACACTAAATGTCGAAACTTGTGTTAAAGCATTGCTTATGAAAGAAAAGCACTCCCAGAATACCATGTGTGTATGTGGTTGGTGGGATATATTAAAACAAAAAGTACCTTGCATGTGGAGATACCGATATGGGAAGGAGGCGAATTTCTAGGTGTTGTGAAACAAGAGGCAATGTCACTGTGGCAGTGGTGGTGGTGACGGTGGTGATGGTGGTAGCACTGTGTATAGCACTGTGCTGTGTCCTGCCCAGATGAGGCCGGTGGCGCCGTGTTGCGGGGCTTCCTCACGCAGCGCGACATCCCCCCCGTGGACCCCGCCGTGCTCGCCGACCTAGAGGCCCAGGCCCGCGACCTGGCATCCAATGTGGACCGCATGATGAAGTCCCTCAACACCACCATCCAGAACGTAGGTGTGCAGTGGTCACCGTGGGGAGCCTCGCAGCAAAAAGGGCCAGGGTTTGATTCCCGACTCGGGCGCCTTTCTGCGTGGAGTTTTATGGTCTCCCGCTGTTGTGCATTGGGTTCCTCCCATAGCTAAAAAATACATACAATGTAACCGGTATTGATCAAACGTCCCAATGCTGAAATCTTATTTGCCAATTAATAAATTTGGATTACGCACAGCAGCAACATCGCCCTCAACTGAGAAAACTTAGCGTGGCTCTCCAGCAAAAGTCTTGAGACTGAGTGATGCTTTCCTGGATAAAGTGTAATAAAATAAGTGGTTAATGCATTATGCTACGAACAGTTCAATTCCCACTCACAGCCAACATCGGTGACGATTATCCGAACCAGTCCTATGTCGACTCAGCCTCAAATAAGTGCCTAGTGTGGTATGTAAACATCAACATTGGGGAGACAAAGGCGGCTAGGCATGGTGTTGACATATTTTACGGTATTTAACCCATTTGGAAAAGAGCTGGTCACTACTTTATATGTGGGTATTCTTGGTATTGCAGATACCAATAATTAGTCATAAACAACCGATTGCTAACATTCCCTACTATAAATCTAAAGATAGTCCTATCACCATGGTTTGTTTTGTTTTCCGCAGATGACAGCACTTAGCGTGGGCTACATACAGACGTATCGTGATTCGGTGGACAGTTTGGGAGAGTCTGTTGACCTCAGCATCAAGGTAAGGTTCTTAGATTTTTTTTAAGGTCAAGGTCAAGAGGTCGTGTCAGCGAGTGCCGGAGACGCCTCCGTACTTGACCACCGCTTCGTCCGGCTGTGTCTTGTGACTGTCAAAAAATAATCACCTGACTGCTAACTTAGCCAAAGCTAAACAGTGGGCTTTTTTTGCAGAAATATCGCAGGCAACAACGTTCATTCCTGTGTTGCTTCGTGCAATGTGCGGCCGTTGCGCTAACAACACATGCTCTGATTGGCTGGATGGGGTCACGTGGTCGATAGGGTAAACAGATAGCTGTATCCAACATGGCGGAGGGGGTGATACGACCTAGCCGTTTCGCATTCCCAGCTTGTTGCCAAAGTTCTTGGTCCAAATTTGGCAGATTTGATAATTGCCTGCAAATTACTTAATTTGGATTATATATACAGTAACAAGACCTCCCCGTACTGTAAAAATTTTAACAATTCTTGAGTCTCGGTGAGATATTCCTGGGTAACCAAGCAGAGTTTAACACGTACAGTGAGGGAAAAAAGTATTTGATCCCCTTCTGATTTTGTACCTTTGCCCACTGACAAAGAAATGATCAGTCTATATTTTAATGGTAGGTTTATTTGAACAGTGAGAGACAGAATAACAACAAAAAATCCAGAAAAACGCATGTCAAAAATGTTATAAATTGATTTGCATTTTAATGAGGGAAATAAGTATTTGACCCCTCTGCAAAACATGACTTAGTACTTGGTGGCAAAACCCTTGTTGGCAATCACAGAGGTCAGACGTTTCTTGTAGTTGGCCACCAGGTTTGCACACATCTCAGGAGGGATTTTGTCCCACTCCTCTTTGCAGATCTCCAAGTCAATTAAGGTTTCTGCTGGGGGGGTGCGTGCGTGCGTACTGTGCGTGCATACGTACTGTGCGTGCGTGCGTACTGTGCGTGCGTACTCTGCGGTGGTGTAACGGTGAGCACGCTGTGCTACGAAAACCTGGCCACGGCCAACTTCAGTGACGATATCTGCACTGGTCCTGGGTCTCCCCTAGCGTCGACTCAGTCTCAAATGAGTACCTGGTGCAGTGTGTAAACATAGGCACTAGGGAGACAAAGGCGGCCGGGCGTGATGTTGGCCACCCACCCCCATCGTGTTCCGTGCCAGCTTTCATAGGTGCTCGCTAACAGCACTTGCCCCCCTCAGTCTGTTAAGGCTACGTGGGGGGTGATCTTTGTCTTTGTGCGGTGGGCACATTTGATGTCGTTTCAGGCCATGTACACGCTGATGGCGCGCACCGAGGAGCTGGACAAGGGCATGCAGCCCGTGCACAGCCTAGCCAAGCAGATCAAAGATGTGAAGCGGCTGCTGGACCACCTGGAGAACCTGTGCAAGTGACGGAGGCGCCGATCTCTCAGCAGCCTGCCCGTGTTCTTTCTCCCCTCCTGCGCCCCAGACGATGGCCTACCCCGTTCTTTTAAAAATACTTATTCATTCTGGTAATAGCTGGATTCAGTACGTCCAAAAGAAGCCTGGGTTTGTTTAGTTCATGGCTTATATTTTTGGTTGGCATTTTGAATTTGTCGGTGACTTCATCGAGTGTAGTGCTTTTGTTTAGTGTTTTCACCGAACGCAACATTGTTCTGTTAATGCATTCGCGGTGGTCAGATATCAATCATTGGACTACACGGCTATCCATGTTTTTTACTGTTTTTGGGATTGTCTGTAAATTTATTTTTCTATCGGTGAACATCGTACATGTTTATTATCTTGCAAATTAAATTCTAACATTGATCGCGACCTGCAACAAATCAGAGATGAAGTGACATCTTTCTCAACAGCAGAGGCCTCCGTGAAGGAGTTGTGGTTTAAATCCTAATTTACCCACAGCTGCATTATGCAATTTGTAGAGGTCATAAATGCTACCAGGTGCGCTGATCACCTTGCCCTGTTTGCCTCTTGTGTGTGTGCGTAATGATGCAGTGCAATGCACACTGCGTATGGGATATTAATTGGTAAATTTATGGTCGTTGGAGTTTAATGACTCTTGGGAGAGCCACTTTATTCAAGTTTGGTGAGGAATTGTACATAATGGGTATGGACTATTTTTTGTTTATATATATGCAAGGTCATATCTGTCAACATGAGTGTGTTCTTCACTGTGCACCCCATCTGGCCGTCGCTGCACCTGTGCATGCAGCTATGCTGCTCTCCATGCTGGATGGGTCGCACTGCGGTGTTTACCCTTGTCGTCTCTGGAAATTGATGCGCCAGGCCACTGCAGCACAGGCGAGTCGTGCCAGGCAATGTTGGGAATTGTAATGTTACGCCCCAAAGCAGCCCACACCAGGCCCCTGTCCACAATGCCATCCCCAAAGGGTGCTCGGCACCTCGTGCGCCTGTCACACGATCCGTCTTCCCTGCAGGCTAGTCTCGAAGCGAAGTAATCTAACTCACAAATTCCTGAGTTTTGCCTCCATATCCAACCAGAGAAAACGGCAATGGCAAATCGAGTCCCAGTGGAGCAGTTGAGTCAGAGATGGCACATTTAACTCATCTTTAGTGCCTGCCTCGCCAGGAGATGAGAGGGGAGTGCTCAATCCCTGCCTAGGCATGAGACTTGAGCCAAAGTAAATCCCCTGCATTGTGTTGTGCCTCATGTCCATGCACACCTGCGACATCCGATTTGCCAACACTGAGCTTCGCCTCATGCACTTAAATTTCACCAACGTCTGTATTTAACGGGCCACTCATGAGATCTCATGGCGTTATTTTATGACTGTTACCCGCGTTGACCAGCTGTTGCCGAGTGGTTGACCGTGATGTCGCGATGCGGCCTGCACAGCCCTTGCTTGTGGCGGCCGCGCTGCTGTCCGTCGGCCCCAACGGAGCTCAGTCTCGGGACGTGACGACGAGGAGGAGGCTCCTGCTTCCGATGTTCGGCCCTCCAATTGTTGCAGTGTCTCTGCAATTTAGATAGGAACCCCCTAGTGCCTGGAGAAACCCCTTGCATATGAGGGGCTAACACGATAAATGCCACAGCCACCTACTTGCTGTATGGCTTCCTGGTGCCCTGCTTGTGGATGCCTTGGCCCAGCTCAAGAGTCATGGATGACACGCATGTGGATGTTAAATACAGGAAAAACTCAACACAAGAGCCTTAATTGTAATATTGACTTTATTTACGTTGGATTACATTTATTTCCAATAATTAAAAATGCACAATCCCAGGTAAAGAATAGTGTTTTTTTAAAGGTACTGTTGTGGACAAAGAATACCAACTTGAATTCATGTAAATCAATGAATGGCGCCACAATTGCAAAGTGAAGTCGGCAATTTCCTGCTCAAATGAGCATTGAGGGCAGTTCTCATCTGCTTTCAGGCTCAAGCGAGTGGTGGAAATTCCACATGCGTGAGGGATGATGTTGAGCTGGTCACCATCCAGAATGTGAACCCGCAACCCTCCAGATAGCAAGCCGGAGACATCATCGGTGGAGTTTGACTTCTATATTCGGGGGGATGGGGGGGGTACAGGGGTTCGCATTGTCCGTCACATTATGAATTACAGTGAATATAATTAATTAAAATTTCATGTTCATTCTAAACTATTGAAAACTAATCTTGACTTAAAGCTTCCGTGATTGCGGGAATTCATATTCTTTGGGTCTTTCAGTAAAGTCACGGAGATGGGTTCAAATTAATACAAATAAAATTAACAAAAACCATGACGTTTATATCACAACACATCATCAGGAGGATAAAAGGGGGAAAGCTGCTGAGGCAGACTGTTTTACAGGTTTAAAATTGGGTGTAGCCCAAGGGTCATAAACAAAGTGGGCAGGGCTAGTGATGTTAATGTGTATTCTATTTAATTTATTTACTGAAAGAAGCAAAGGGTAATTCCTGCAGTCACGAAAGTTTCAAATCAAGTTAGAAATTAGCATCTTCTTTGGTTCTTTCGGTAAAGTCACGTAGAATGAGAATAAAATAATAAATTGATAAAATAAAATAACACAATAATTGTGAGAATATTATTGTGTTATTTTATTTTATCAATTTATTATTTTATTCTCATTCTACGTGACTTTACCGAAAGAACCAAAGAAGATGAATCATTGCAGTCACGAAAGCTTTAAATAGAAATTAGCATGTTTAATGAAAGATCGGAGAGGGGCCTCCACGGCGAGGGCGAGGAGGTGGTTATGTTAATGTGAGATTAGCATGTTAATGTGAGATATTAACATGGTAATGTGAGAGATGAACATGTTAATGTGATAGATTAGCATGTTAATGTGAGAGATTAACATGTTAATGTGAGATCGCAGAGCCGCCACGTCGAGGTCGGCGCACGGAGGTGGCTATGTTGGTGTGAAAATTTTTACCTGTTAATGTAAAATAGGAGAGCCGAAGCTTCGGGGAAAATAAAAACTAACATCGGAAGGTGGCGGGATAGGAACATCACAGCCAGTTATGACTTAAACTGGTTGATGACGTCCTTCCAATGATTGCTCAGTTTGTACCCATCTTGGTTGAAATTGTGTCTGTGTCTATATATGTGAATGGCTTCATGAAATAATCTTTGTTGATAGCCAGTGGGCTTACAAAGTACCTTTGTCTTAGAGAAATCAATTTCGTGTGAGCCAACCGCATTAAAACAATGATCAGCCACGGCCGACGTGTTGGTCCTACCGTGTTTCAAATCTGCCTTATGTTCCCTAACACGGTCCGAGACATGTCGCTTAGTTTCCCAAATGTAACTACTGCCGCAGACACAGCTTAGTTTGTAGATGCTAGGGTATTGCTTATCAGGGATCCTATCCTTCACATATGGGATCAGATCACTAATTTTATGTACTGTGTTAATCGAGCCTGGATCTTGTGTTCGCTCAAGATTTTGGAAATATTTTTTGGTGACCCCTGCTATGTATGGCAAGATGATGGTTTTGATTGGTGATGATGGTCGGAGATACATCGAGCTCTGGTGTAGAGTTTTGATGAGGGAATTCTTCTGGGGTGGATGGTGGTGGGAGTCAGGTTTTAGGTAGGCATCCGTATGAGTTGCTTTCCTCCAGACAGTGTCCCATTGAGCCATCTGGTCTCTTTTCGATTAGAACGTTCAAAAGTGGTAGCTTGCCATCCTTTTCCTCCATGGTGAATTTGATGGCTGGGTGTATGGAATTAATGTGGTTGAGGAATTGGTTTAGAGCTGGTCGGCCATGTGGCCAGATGACGAACGTCGTGGTTTTTATTTTATTTTTTATTCATTTGAACCTATCTACGTGACTTTACCGAAAGACCCAAAGAATTTTGAAAATAAATTAATAAACGTGTCCAATTTGGGCGAAGCCCCCCCCCCCGCTCCCCCCGCAAACTAAGCCCCTGCATTGCGTTGTGTGTTGTGCCCGATGTTGCAGGCGGACCAGCGATAAACTAACATGAGTCGTATCAGACATAAGAATAGCTTTTACCCTTTCTGATTGACCTACACCAGGTCAATCCGCTTCGAAGATAATGCATATAATAATTATCAGAGCATGTTTTCCCACAAGTACATGTGGTTAATGCAGACTTGAATCCTTGAAAACGGTACCCATTTGGTGTTTAAACATCTTAACACCTGTTTTATTGCCAGAAAGAGTAAAACCTATTATTTTTCATACGTAGATACTGGCAAAAAAGTATCCCATTATATATAACATGGGCCGTGGTATACTGGAACCACACTCCAGCTACACTATCGATGTTGAACTTCTTTCGCGTCGTACGTAACCAACCATGCTAATCGGAGGTGCGGGGGAAGGACAACACACTGAACACACAAAGCAGTTCTGCAGAAATTTGTTTACAAAGAAAGGCAATGACTTGGGTAAGCATATATTGGAGCTCTACTTTCCTAATACCACGGCCACGATATTTGAGTGGGATTCTGCCATCCTTCACAAACTGCTCCCCTCTGGATTTAAGCATGAACTTGCATCTCTCATGTTTCTCTGCTGACGACCAAAGCCTTGAAAAAGATCATTGCTGTTCAGGGCAAATGTTCCCATTATCCAGTGGTAGAGTTCATAAACCTGCGGTGGATATTGAATCGGTTTTGTATGCAGCACATGAGTGATTTAATACACCGCTGAAAGTTTAAATTTGAATGATAAAAGTGTTTTAGGCACCCTGTCTCCAATAAACTGTTGTGGAAGTTTAAGATCAAGCATTGGTTTTAAAGATTGTAGTGCAATTGCAGGCATTTTAATCGTCATACAGCATATACATTATGGTACCGCTTTTAAACCACTCTCCAATTATCTTTGTGCAAAGTAATTTCATGAAGTGGATTCAATGAAAGTTACGGATATAAATCTTACTCGGTACAACATTTGTTTGCAAAATGTCTCGGGGCCCTGTACGGTCCTGTAGTCTTCCTATGAAATGCTTAAATTTGTCATTTTTTCTAAATTATGTTTGCATTCCCGTTTCGTTTTTTTGGTATTTTATTTGAGTTATTTTGTTTATGGAAATAATTGCATTACGCCCGGTGAATATCTCGATCGCTGGTGTGTCAAGTGGAAGCGACAAGAGCTGCAAGAAGTATTGTCAAGTGTTCCCTGGCCTCCCGACGTTCTGCGATTGGTCCCGATTGAGCGAATGGTGCAGCACAGGGGACTGGGTGCCCAGCGGGCATCATCGGACCCACATCGACCCCGCACAGCGAGGATGGTCACCAAGGGGGCCACCGAGGGGGTTACTGAGGGGATCACCGAGGGGGTCACTGAGAGGGTCACGGAGGAGGCCACAGAGGGGGTCACCGACCTCTCGCTGGCCAGGAGCTGCACCAGGCTTGCCCGCACAGGACAATGTAACTGCCAAAAAGAATGTAAACATTTGAAGGAATTTCAATCATTGTGACAGGTATGAAAACTATTGGGGGAAACGGCATCTCTTGTTTTAATATTTCCATGATGACGAATTGTAAATACAAATAATAAACATCAAAGGTTTCCATTCGCGTTATTCTTGTTCACGCTTTGCTTGTGAACAATGTGTGACGTCACTGAAGACAACCCGACACGGATTGTTGCATTGCGGCTCCATGAGGAATGGCAATGGCGTGGAAATGCATTCATCCAACAGTAGTTAGACAATGCAATATGATGTAGAGAAGCTGTACTGTACTTTTGAATACCAAGTTACGTTTAACAAATAGTACACGTTTAAGAATACAAATTACTCCAAGGAGTGATGGTATTTATAGAAAAACTGCGACATGAATGTTCGTAAAGGTTTTTGGGTTAGATCGCGTTATTTATAAATGTGTCGTAACCCTCCACCACCCGACACGGCCAATCAGCAAAAAAAGTGCCACGTTGACAAAAGACAATTAGTTCACTACTTTAGCCCACCGGTGTGTTGAAGTGTGAATCCGCAAAATTTACAGTTTGAATACGACGTTTCGCTGGTAATTACATCCAGCATCATCGGGCAATTCGCCAGAATGGTAAAGCCCTCACTTGCTCCCGGTCTTAAATAGAGCAGCAGGGTGACGTCATCATTTAACTCATTCAGGTGCAGTAATTATATCATTGATTGGTAATCAGTCAATGGTTATGATTAGTAATGAGTTGTAATGTGTGTTATTGTGAATATATGCTACGTTAGTAATCCGTTAATTAGTATGTGTTTCCCCGATAAGGAATTGTAATATGTATTATTTAATAATACGCTTCCAAGCCGCACTAAGCCTATAGCTATCAGAGCGATTAACGTTATTTTCATTTCTCTCAATTTCAATGGATTCTCTAATTAGTCTTTGCCAGTAATAATTAGTTTTACACAACACTTCAACGTTATCAAAATCAATTGAGTGTTCTTGTTGACAAGCATGTTCTGCCACTGCCGACAGTTGTGTTTGAGATAATTAAATATTTTTTTGGTGTTCTTTTAGTCTTATGTTGATGTTACGTCCCGTCTGTCCAATATAGCATCTGCCACATAATCCGATATAAACCTTCTGATAATTTAGGTAATTCGTCTTTAGTGCAAGCTACTAGTTTTTGAATTTTGTGTACTGTACCAAATGTTACTGTAATGTTTTGCTTTTGCAAAACATGGGCTAATTTGTCAGATACTCTGGAGATATATGGAATTTTAATTGTTTTAACAATCTGATCGCTTTCAGCAGTGTTGCTTTGCGATCGTGATTTGGCATTCAGTGCTCTGTTAATTTGAGTATTATTGTAGCCATTCTGTCGTTATGCTTCTTTAACATGTTTGATCTCTCTCACTAGACTTTCACCATCTGACACTGTTTTAGCCCGATGTATGAGCGTCTTGATAAGAGAGGATTTCTGAGCTGGATGATGATGCGAATCTGCATTCAGGTAGGCATCAGTGTGTGTTTGCTTTCTGTAAACGCTATGTTATTTTACTGTTTAGGCCATGTCCAAGCAAAATATCTAGGAACGGGAGTGTGTTATTCCACCTCCATTTCCATGGTGAACTGGATGGCCAGGTTTTGTGCATTGAGATGATTTAGAACATCATTAAGAGTATCTTTACCATGTGGCCAGACAACCAAAGTGTCATCCACATATCTAAACCAAAAAGATGGTTTTAATGTGCTCGAGGCAAGTGCTCTTATTTCAAAGTTTTCCATGTACAGATTTGCTATAGCAGGAGATAAAGGAGAGCCCGTTTCTGCTCCTTCCTTTTGTTTAAAGAAATCCCCTCTCCATTAGAAGTAAGTGTTATTTAAACAATGGTCAGAAAGTTTCGGAATATCTTTTGGTAAACCTGTATTCTTTACTAGTGTATCAAGTAATTTAAGCAATTCGTTCACTGGAACCTTAGTGAATAGAGAAATCACATCAAAACTTACCAGAATATCATTAGGATTAAGTTTAATATCTTTAATCACATTCACAAGATGTTCTGAATTTATTATGAATTAAGATGTCCTGCCGATGTAGGGCTGTATTTGTTTAGTTATATATTTTGTTAATTTATATGTCGCAGAGCCAATTGTACTGACTATGGGTCGTAATGGGATGCCAATTTTATGAATCTTTGGTAGCCTATACAGTCTAGGTAGTTTTGAGGCCCTTGGCTTAATTTGGTGTTGCTCATTCTTAGGGATTAATGAATTTGCAATTATTGCAGTAGTCTTACGTTCTAAAGTATTAGTTGGATCTCTTCGATTTGAAGCTTTCGTGACTGCAAGGATTCATCTTCTTTGGTTCTTTCGGTAAAGTCACGTAGAATGAGAATAAAATAATAAAATAACACAATTAAATTCTCACGACGTTACGGCCACAACGCAAGCAGCCGTCTTCAGGTGAAAGGTACAGAACTGTCGGGACGACAGAGCTTCAATGAACGATGTTAAGATTCGTAGCGACTTTTAAGCTGGTTGGGAGAAGTGAGGCAACTTGACAAAGGGGTTTACATATCAAATAGCTGAGGGATTAGCTTATGACTGGTCACAGAAATGACTATGTTAAAGTCATGTGTAGGTTTTGACTTTAACATAGCCATTTCTCTGACCAGTCACAAGCTAATCCCTTGTGGTGCCACCACGGAGGAGTAGCTTCGTCGGGGACCGTGCCCACCGCCGCGACACCACCCCCGGGGGGTGACAACGCCGACGTGGCGCACTGCACCGCACCCCCCCCCCCCCCCCCCCCACACACGAATGCACACACACCCCACATAGAGCCGGAAGGGGAGATCACCTGGCCGATAGTTTTTTTTTTTCCAGAAGCCCCTAATGGGAATAAGTTTCATGGTTTCCTGCGGCCGGGAATTTGGGCGATTTCCCCCCGTAGCTGACACGAACCGCGGGGCCGTGACCTGATATTAAAATCACGTAGTCGCGGCGGAGGCCGTAAAGCCACCACGGACGAAATTACACACGCGGCACGGGGCGTGTGAACCACGAGATGCCTGTTGTTATAGATGGAATTAGGAACTGAATGCCCCTGATTATAGGTGAGCTCACGGATCCAAATGACAGGATAGGAGCATTCAGGCCTTTGAATGAGCAGGGCGATGCGGGGCGGAAGCATCTGAATGCCTTTTGTGCTCTATAAGGTCACAGGACGGAATGCCTTTGTTAGGATCAGGGATCTAGATAACAAAGGGGTAAGAATATCCAACATCTGAATGGACAGGGCCACCTGGGGTGTGAGAACCACAGTGCGCCTTTATTATGAATGGGATTAGGGACTCGATGACAATGAGATAAAAATAACGCGACCTCCGATTGGGCCGGGCAGCATGGGTGCGAAAGCATCGGAGTGCCTTTTGTTATAGGTAAGCTAATAGACTCGAATATGAAAAGGCACGGGCGATGATGTGTAGGGTTCGTGCAATATGTTTGGTGATAGGTAGGATAAAAAGGAGGTGAGGGGGACAGTAGGGAAGTCTTATTCTGTAAAATCATCGCGGTCCACGGAGCAGGAGGGTCAGCCATTCGAGACGTCCGTGCGATGAGCCCAGCGCAGCTCGACTCAACCCTCTCCGGAGACGACTCACAGTATCGCCTTTCTACAGCGTTCAGCGCAGCAGAGTGGAAGCAATCATAAGTAGAGGAGAGCGCTCGTGTGCCTGTGCGACGGTGTTGTGGTCGCGTGCCTGCGCGATTGCTAATCGCGAAGTAGCGAGCTAAAGCGCCGAGCGCGCGCGTATTCGCGCGACTGTTTGAACGGGCTCTTTAACTCAGAGCCGGGCGACCCTCCTCAATCGGCGGCGCACGCACGGCAAACGTCCCGCCCATCCCTCGACCCCAACCCCCTCGCGTGCGATTGGTGTACGGGGCTGGGCAGGGGGTAGAGGCGTGTTTGTTATTACCGGGGCACGTGGAGCAGGGGTAGGAGGGTGACACGCGCCGCGCCAGTCTGTTCACGGGCGGGAGGGAGTTTTTACGGGCGAACGCGCTCCTTGCGGTACACCGCCTCGCAGCGCACCGCAAGCGTAAAGCGACGCGCCCTACCCAGCGGTTAAAACATGCAGACGCGGTCAGCAGCACAGGAGGGCGGGGTAGTGGAGGTCGCTAGCCCAAACCCCACAGAGCAGCCGGGGGGTAGTGGGATAAATGTGGCGGGGGAGTCGGGAGCCAACGGCCCCGACAATTCGGTGATGGCGGGGGACATTCGCCCCCACAGTTTCGCGTCAGAAGCGGTACGAACCCCCGCGTTACCCCACGCGAAAATAAGGCATATTTTCACCGGCCGGGGTACCCCTTCGTGGAAAGCGTTTGCCCGCAACGTCCTAGGGGCTAAGGAAATTAATGGGTGGACGGACGCGCAGGCGTTACGTCAACTTAATATGAATCTGGATGGGCGGGCATCCGACTTGATCTGCGTTTCGGTACGCGCGATGAGGAGGCAAAAGCGGCCTTAGAGGCATGCCGTCGCCAACCCGGCGAGGATCTGCGCGATTATGCCGAGGACGTGCGCGAGCTAACAAAGATCGCACGCCCGGGGTACACGACGGAGGTAATTGAGGAGCTGGGCCGCAGAGAAAATCCAGTGATACTTAACTCGCACGGCGTGGTGGCAGCCAGACATGAACTGTACGCGTCTCCCCTTTAACGCCCTTGTCGAGCACGCGCGCAAATGTGAAAGAATTTCTAGCGAACGCGCGCAGCTCCGAGGACTGGGATGGGAGCGCACCGTCGCAAGCCTGTACCTAGAGGAGGAAGAGGAGGAACAGGAGCTCACCAGGACGGTAAGGGATCGGGAAAGGGAGCCTCCGGTATCCCGCGAGACAACCCCGGGATGGGTGGCGGGAATACAGATGGGCATAAAGGATGTAGCCGGCCAGGTGACCCACGCACGTGAGGAAGCGAGTAAAAACATGAAAGCCATCCAGTCCGAGATAGGGGAGCTACGCTCCACAGTAGGGAGACTGGCTGGGCGGGAGTCCCAGTTAGAGTCCGACCTGGGACAGCTGTTTACGGGAAGGGGAAGAAGGGATGGGCAGGGGGCCTCCTATGGGACCGCTCCCCGAGCATGCTACCTGTGGGACCGTCAAGGGCATCTCGTGAGGGACTGTCCCTAGATCGCCCACGCTAGAAACGCACCACGGTTAAACGCCACCGCCCCCTAGAGAGTGGACCACCTAGGGGTGCAGTCAACACGGTCCCTTTGCAGAACGACGATAATAATAATGGTGAGCGAGTGACCCCCACGCAGATTCCGACCACAACACCCAGGGACATGGTGAGCACGGGCGACTGGCTGCGAGAGCTGGTGGCGGGAATCACAGGGGCCACGTCGCTGGTGGAAGGACAGGTGAACAGGCAGCGCACCCGGATCCTACTGGACACGGGGGCCGTAGCCTCACTCATGAGCGCCGCGCACTGCAGCGTGCTCGGGGTTGACGTGAGCCGCCTGCAGGCCCCCGGATCGCGCTGCACACAGCGAGCGGAGCCGGGATAGGGTTGCTGGGAAGGATCTCCCTCGAGGTCCGTCTCGGAAACCAGGGGTGCACACAGGAATTCTACATCTCGAGTGTGTTGTGCCACAAGTGTATTGCAGGTGTAGGGGTGCTATGGGGAATAAACACATGGCACGGGAAGGTGTGGTTCACCCACACCTTGGTGGCTACAACAACGTCCGCTAAGGCTCCACCCCCTGTGGGTATAAAGTGCGGGGAGCCAGGGAGCTCGGGGCAGAGTGTTGGGCCCGAGAAGTGAAGCAACCAGTGAAGAAAGAAGGCCAGCTAGGTGAGACCCTGGAACTCCTGTGACCGCTGCCCTTTTCAGGGCCGGCACAGCAAGCCAGTGGTGCGGCCCCAGAGCCCCAGAGTCAGAGTCCTTCTAAGGGCCGGTCTGGTCGGCGGGGTGCCGAGATCTGTGCCTAACCAGGGCCAGATCTGATAGCCTCCCTTAGAGCCCTACCAGGAGGAACTGGGAGCCTAGAGCTTAGGCTAGAGAGCCTGGGGTGTGTTCCTGAGTTATACGGGTGGAGGGGCCGCTACCCCTTCTAGTGTAACCCTTGTTAAGGTTTAAATAAATAGTGCTGCTTATACCCTGCCATCTCCGTGTCCTGGAACCCACTACAACTGGTGTCAGGAGTGATTTTAAAATGGACACAAGGAGTACAAACCGATCACAGGAACCCCAGGAGGAGGACGGCTCGCCTGGGATTGCGCCAGAGGCCGCGGCCGACGATCCTGGGATGCCCCAGACGCCCCAACAGCAGCCGCCGCTGGAGGAGTGGCCGCCGATGGAGGAGGGGTTGCAGGCGGCTCACTCTCGACTGGCTGAGCTGCTGTACGCCGCGGCTTCCACGCTGGAGGAAATCAACCGCGCGGGGCTGCGGGCGCAACGGCGGCAGAGAGACGAACGCCGTTCAACGGCCATTCCCGCCGAAACACAGCCACCAGATTTCGGATTTGCCGCCATGACAGTGTCCGCCACGGCGATTGGAGGGTCGCAGCTCCACGTGGACGCTGTGGGCCAATCAGCGGTGGTGACGTCATCACCAACGGACGCCCGCTGTCAGGACCAATCGGCGGGCGCATCGTCATCACCTGCGCGACCGCCGATGGGTGTCCCCAGCCCCTCCAACACCGGCGGAGATGCCGGAAATGGCGCGCGGCACCTCTCAGAGACGAAGCCGTCATTTCAACAACGCCTGCCGGTGTTGAAGGAGTTCGTTTCAGACGGCGGCGACTGGGGGGCTTTTCAACGCCGCTTCCTCGCTCATCAAGCGATGGCCGGCTGGACGGACAACGAGGCGTTGCGTGCGCTACCGGTCATGCTGGACGATGACGCCCTTGCTACGCTCATCACAGCTCCCAGGTCAACGCGATCTACACTACAGTCGGCGCTCCAGGTCCTCACCATAGTCTACGGGCCACCGTCGGACTGCCGCAAACTCTTCCACGAGCGGTGCAGGGGCCAGAAGGAGCCACCGCTGGCGTATCGCACGGCTCTCCTGGCCCTCGCAAAAACGGCTTTTCCGCGGATGGACGGCGAAGGGGTGGACGCGATGGTGATGGAAAAGCTCCTGGCGTTGGCCCAGGAGCTACAGATCGTCATCATCACAGAGGACGACGCGGACATGTGCTCCTTGCGGGCAGCAAGACACATCCACGCGCACCTGATAGCGCAGCGTCGATCACCTCTCGTCCCCAAGGGCGCAGCTGCGGTGTGCGCTGGGACGCCGACCATCCCCCCCTCCGAGGAGGTCTTCGCGGCGGGTCGCCCGGTGGAGTGGAGATCCGGAGGGAGGCCGGCTCAGACAACACCGGATCGCCAGGAGCACCCCAAGGCGCTCATCACGTGCTACAACTGTGGCCGCAAGGGCCACGTGGCTGCGGAATGCCGGGCGCCTCGTCAACGACAGCCGGGACGGTCGGACGGCGCTCCAGCTTACAGGCCTCCGCATCGCAACCCGGCAAGTCGCGGCACCCCACATGCTCGGCCTGTGCACACACCTGTCCCCACCTCGCGCGTTTCGGGGTACGGGCCTCGGGGTACGCCCATTGGTTTGTTGGGTGGCGGCGGGGTCGAGAGGGTGCTCGGGCCGGGGCAGTGGACGGAATTGGCCCACCGCATTGTTGCTGCGTCGGCAGGCTCGTCCGTGGTCGCGGGTCGCATTGACGGGGTCGAGGTGCGTATCCTCGTCGATACGGGAGCTTCGGCGACCATTGTGTCAGACTTGATTTATAATATTCTTCCCGTTCAAAACCGCCCCTTGCTCCCAGTCATTGTTCCGTGTTACGCAGCGAACGGTGGTTCGCTGGGTATCATAGGCCAAATTCGAGCACAAATTTGCATTGGCGATATCAAACTCTCCGGGCCGATATTAGTCTCGTCCTCGCTGGCGGTTCCGTGCTTGTTGGGGACGGACTTTTTGGGCAAAATGCCGATTAAAATTCTAATTGATCAGGGTTGCATCGAGCTTCCCTCGGGCCGACGGGTAACATTCCTGCCTTCCCCTGTCACCTCAAGGGCAGCGTGCACGTCGATACAAGCGTTCGTCACTCGGACAGTGCATGTACCTCCCGGGGCGCAAATGCTCGTGCCCCTTTGCTTGCGTCGGCCTTTCGTGCCCGGTGTTCTGGACCAGGGAATTATGTTAGGGCCCTCGAGGGCTGGGGAAAACGGGCTGGATCTGGTGGCCGCTCAAACGCTCGTTAAGGGGAGCGATGACCCGTTTATCCTCGTCCTTAACGTTGGCGTACAGACGCCCGTCGTTCCTCAGGGAACTGTGCTCCGCACGCGACGCCGGTCCCCGTGGTAGACACGGTTATGGGTAATGTGGGGACCGATCCTCTGGCTCAACCGCATTCTGAGGGGGACGATAGTTGGATGGACGCACTATGTTTGGGCACGAGTGATCTGTCCGACTCCCAGCGTGCCGGCCTACGCACCCTTCTGACGGAATTTTCCGATGTCTTTAGTAAACACAAATATGACATTGGGTGCACGAAATTGTTGCGTCACCACATTGACACGGGTGACAATGCCCCGGTACGCCAGAATCCTTTTCGGTTAAGTCCGGCCGAAAACGATCATGTCAAATCGGCAGTGGATGACATGTTGGCTGCAGACATTATAGCCCCTTCCACCAGTCCATGGGGAGCATCAATAGTGCTTGTCAAAAAGCACGATGGGTCCTTGCAATTCTGTGTGGATTTTCGCCGCCTTAATAAGATCTCCGTGGCCGACGCGTATCCACTTCCCCGGATGGACGAATCTCTGGATGCTCTGGCCGGCGCACTTTTTTTTCTACGTTGGACTTGTTATCCGGATTCTGGCAACTCCCAGTGGATGATGAGTCCAAGCCAAAGACTGCGTTTCGCACACCACACGGCCTATTCCAATTTAACCGGTTACCTATGGGATTACACTCCGCTCCGGCGACATTTCAGCGCCTTATGGAACTGGTTTTGGCTGGCTTACAGTGGAACGTCTGTTTGATCTATCTGGACGACGTCATCGTGTTCAGCAAGACATTTGACGAACACCTTTTGCGCTTGCGCGCCGTGTTCCTCAAAATGCGCGCTGCGAATTTGAAATTTAAGCCGCAAAAGTGCCATCTGCTACGGAAATCCATACGCTATTTGGGGCAAATCGTCAGCCGCTCGGGCATATCCACCGATTCCGCAAAGACGCAGTGTGTCAGCTCCTGGCCAACCCCCACCTCGGTGGCTGAGGTCAGGAGTTTCATTGGATTTGCGTCTTATTACCGGCGGTTCGTCGCGGATTTCGCGACCATTGCTAAGCCCTTACACGCTCTGACGGCGAAGGGAGTGAAATTTCACTGGGGCCAGGATGAGGAGGTCGCTTTTTGTTCCCTTCGCGACGCTCTCGTGCGGGCCCCTCCATTGAGCTACCCCGATTTTTCGGAACCCTTCTTGCTCGATACAGACGCCAGCAATACGGGCATTGGGGGTGTGCTCTCACAGGTGATCTGTGGTGTGGAACGCGTCGTGGCTTATGGCAGTAGGGTTTTGTCTCCGGCGGAACAGAGATACTGCGTCACGCGTCGGGAACTCTTGGCTATTGTATTTTTCATGCAACAGTATCGCCCATACCTGTACGGTCGGCATTTCACTGTCCGTACGGACTATGCGGCATTACAATATGCCTTGCGGATGACGCAGCCTTCGGGGCAATTGTCCCGATGGCTCGAAATCCTTCAGGATTATGATTTCACGACCACATATCGGAAGGGTGCTCGGCACACTAATGCGGATGCGCTGTCTCGCCTGCCGCCCGCCTCAGATTGCACTTGTCTCAGGGGATCGGGGCATTGTAAGCCGCCAGAGGATAGCCCCCCCTTAGATATCCCGGTTCTCGCTGCTGCCACTGAGGACCCCTTGCCTGAGGGTCCTGTCGAGGAGGGAGGTGCGGACTCCTTGCTGGGGTTGTCCGTTGCGGAATGGGGGCGCCTCCAGATGGAGGACACATCCCTCCTCGCTTTGCATCGTCGCACAGGGGGTTCCGTGCGGGGGGTCGCGGGGATTGATTCGTACCGGCTGCTCCAGGGGCTCCTAATGCATTGGGATGGGAGGGCCTGCCGTCACAGGCTTGTGGTGCCATCCGCTTTGCGGGGTAAGGCCGTTTGGGCTGCACACGAGCGGCTTTTGCACCTGGGGACCCACAAGACCCTTGCCGTGCTCCAGCTGGATTTCTTCTGGCCGGGTATGGCAAGGGATGTGGATGACCTCCTGGGTGCATGCACTCAGTGCGCCCAACGAAAACCACCAGCGAAAGGCGCCTGCCCACCGCTACAATCTATCACGGTCTCTCGGGTTAACGAACTCGTCGCACTCGATATATTGGGGCCCTTCCCTGTGACCCCTAGGGGTAACAAGTACCTGCTGGTTGGCGTGGAATATTTCACCCGATGGCCTATGGCATGGCCTCTCGCTAACCAGTCAGCAGCAGCCGTTGCCGAGGCCTTTGTCCAGGGCTATGTCCTCGACAAGGGTGCTCCTGAACGGCTGCTGACTGACCAAGGGAAGAACTTCTCTGGCGTCCTTCTGCACGAGGTATGTGCGCTTCTTGGTACGAAAAAGATTCGCACTTCCCCCTATCACCCACAAACCGATGGCATGGTGGAGCGGCTGCATAGGACGCTCACATCTATGTTGTGTCACCAGGTGTGTGACTCCCAGACCGATTGGGACCTTCACATTCCGGGGATTTTGGCCGCCTATAGAATGGCTCCTCACGCGGCAACCGGCTTCTCGCCGTTCTTTTTGATGTACGGTCGCGACGTTGACCCACCAATTGCGACTCAGCTCCGCGTCTCGGAAACCAGCAGAAAATCGAAATTGGCCAACCACGTTAAATTTTATATCCTGAGGTTGACCGAAGTGCGGGAGGCAGCGGTCCAAAACTCTTCCTCTCGGCAGAAGGCCAACGAGAGGTTGCGATCGCGCCAGTCATTTACACATGCGTGGAAGCCAGGCGATCAAGCCTGGCTGCACTGCCCTCAGGTGCCGTTGGCGACCTCGGCGAAATTGCTGCGACCTTGGAGGGGCCCTGTGGTTATTGTGAAGGTTATGTGGTCGCAGTGCGTTCGTATCCAGTGGGGGAAACGCCGCTGGTACGTACACCCCTCGCGTCTGAAGCCGTTTGTGGCGCCGCGCATCCCTCCACAACATTACACGGGCCGAGCATGTGATGTGTCCGCTGACTCCCGGACGGCGTCTTCGTCACCTGCCCCTGATGCTTCGCTAACTGTTCCACCTTCAGGCGCCTCAAGAGTGACGGCTTCCAGCGCGCTGGCGCCACCCGGTGGGGACGGAGTTTGCCCTTCCGGGGTGACGGAAAACGGTGCACCTGCACAGCCGGTGCCCACTGCCGGGCCGACCGGACCCTCCCCCTACGATGAACCCGCAAAACGGACTCGCGCCAAAACGCGCCGCTTGTTGTAATAATGGTTCTTGTTACTCTTGTTGTTCACTGTTAAGTTTTCTTGCTGCGTTGATGGGGGGGGGTTACAATGTATATGTGTATATAGTGTAATTTTGTATAGGTGGGTTGGGTTATTTATTGGGGTGTTCGTTCTTAGGAGGCACGCACGGGTGGGGGTTTGTTGTGTTTATTGTTCGAGTATTGTTGCAGCCGGGACGGCTGCGGGTTACACGGGAGGGGGTGATGTAGGGGTGCTATGGGGAATAAACACATGGCACGGGAAGGTGTGGTTCACCCACACCTTGGTGGCTACAACAACGTCCGCTAAGGCTCCACCCCCTGTGGGTATAAAGTGCGGGGAGCCAGGGAGCTCGGGGCAGAGTGTTGGGCCCGAGGCTGAAGCAACCAGTGAAGAAAGAAGGCCAGCTAGGTGAGACCCTGGAACTCCTGTGACCGCTGCCCTTTTCAGGGCCGGCAAGCAAGCCAGTGGTGCGGCCCCAGAGCCCCAGAGTCAGAGTCCTTCTAAGGGCCGGTCTGGTCGGCGGGGTGCCGAAATCTGTGCCTAACCAGGGCCAGATCTGATAGCCTCCCTTAGAGCCCTACCAGGAGGAACTGGGAGCCTAGAGCTTAGGCTAGAGAGCCTGGGGTGTGTTCCTGAGTTATACGGGTGGAGGGGCCGCTACCCCTTCTAGTGTAACCCTTGTTAAGGTTTAAATAAATAGTGCTGCTTCTACCCTGCCGTCTCCATGTCCTGGAACCCACTACACAGGTATGGACCTCCTGGACAAGCTGGGGCTCAACGTGCAGCCCCGCCAGCGATGCGCCATCGTGGAGGGCAGCGGGGAGCGGATCCCATTCCTGGGACCCGAGCCGAATCGCCCTCGCTTCACACCCGTGGCCGTCATGCTGGTGTCGGCCGTCACCATCGGGCCGCTCGCCGAGATGCTGGTGCCAGTGGCAACCCCCTCCGCCGACCCCACACACCGACCATCGGGCGAGGTAATGCTAACTCCTCACGCGGAGTTGGCAGCGCAGTACGGAGTCGTCGGGTCAGCCACGCTGGTAAACGCAGATGGGGGGCGACTGTTCATGTGGGTGTTTAACCCACACAGTACCCCGGCGATGCTACAACGGTGCACCACAGTAGCCACCATACACCCCCTGCATGCGCGCCACTCTAACGACTCGGTGTTCGCACTCTGGGCGGAAGACCCTGGCCGCCCCGAGGACAACCAGGATCTGGCCTGGCGGGTCGGCCCGACTCCGCGAGCCGAGATCATCCCCTTGCATGACGCGTTACATGTGCCTTGGGCGGACTTACCTAAGGGGGAGGCCGATCTGCTGCACGGGTTGTTGCAGGAGTACGCCGACGTGTTCAGTGAGCACGATTCGGATGTAGGTCGGTCAGACCTTGTTAAGCACACAATTGACACGGGTGCAGCCCGACCTATCAAACTCCCCGCATACCGGGTGGGCGTGCCTGAACGGACCCAGATCAAGGAGGCAGTCGCGGATATGCTACGTGATAACATAATTCAGCCCTCAGCGAGCCCCTGGTCTGCCCAGGTGGTGCTAGTGACGAAGAAGGACGGGTCGACCTGGTTCTGCGATGATTACCGAAAGTTGAACGCAGTCACCCTCGGCGCCGCCTTCCCCATACCGCGCATCGATGACACCTTTGACAACCTCGCAGGAGCACGGTATGTTTCCATCCTCGATCTGGCATCCGGGTACTGGCAGGTGGAGATGGCGGAGGAGGATCGGCCGAAAACCGCATTTACCACCCCGATGGGGCTGTTCAAGTTTCGAGTGCTTCCGTTCGGACTCACTAACGTGCCCGCGACGTTCCAGCGGCTGATGGAGTTGGTGATGCGGGGCTTACAGTGGGAACAGTGCCTGATTTACCTGGACAACGTGATAGTGTTCAGCAGATCTCTGTCCGAGCACTGGTCCAGGCTGCGAGAGGTGTTCCAGCGACTGCGAGCAGCCCATCTCAAGCTGAAGCCGCGTAAGTGTTACATTGCGCAGCGCGAGGTAGGGTACCTCGGACACCGAGTCAGCGAGGCGGGGGTGCGCACCGATCCGGAAAAGGTGCGCGCCGTAGTGGAATGGCCACGGCCAAGGTCATTCTTGGGCCTCGCCACCTATTATCGTCGATTTGTAAAGGGATTCAGCGAGACTGCACGCCCCCTCACCCAACTCACCTCCCCTAAGAACCCCTATCGATGGACGGAGGCCTGCCAAACGGCCTTCACCACCCTCAAAGATCATCTCAACCACACCCCCACCCTAGCTTTCCCCGATTTCACCACGGATTTTATCTTGGACAACAACGTCTGCAGCAGTGGGCTGGGCGCGGTGCTGTCACAGGTACTGGGTGGGACGGAGCGGGTCATCGCATACGCCAGTCGGACCCTGAGTGGGGCCGAGCTGAATTATTGCGTGACCCGTCAAGAACTGTATGCCGTGATCTTCGCGTGTAAACAGTTCCGACCGTATTTGTACGGCAGGAAATGTCGGGTGCGCACCGACCATTATGCCCTGCAGTTTCTCCTTACATTTAAGGAACCGCGGGGGCAGATGACCCGATGGCTGGCGCAGCTGTAGGAGTACAACCTGCAAATAGAGTACCGAGCTGGGCATACGCACGCAAACGCGGACGTCTTGTCGAGGCGGCCCGCGGTGTGCGCCGAGACAAGGGTGGAGGAAGTCTGCCCGTGCTTCACGGGGGGCCGTTGCCAGCAGGTGGTGGACCCCCAGGAGCACACCGAGACTAACCCCGCCCCCCCCCCCCGGTGAGAGACAGTGCAGTATGCGCAACAGAGACCCCGGCAGGGGGAACCAGGGACCTGGGGGACCACTCGACGGGCACGGAGCCCACACCCCGGGGCCCGACGGGTCGCCCAACCCCACCCGATCGGATCCAGGAGGACGTCGACTGCGCCTTCCCGGGCCTGGACGACGAGCAGCTGAGACGGACCCAGCTGCGGGATCCAGATCTGGCAGCGGTGGAGATGGCCCTACGGGAGAAGAAGGACGCCCTCCCGGGACCCTGGATTGGTTTGTATGTCCGGTTGTGTGTGCAGAACGGGGTAGTACGGGAACTAACTGAAGCCGGCCAGTCGGGATGCATCTGCATTCCCGCCCAGGTGCGACCCCAGCTGCTAAGGCTGGTACACGACCACCCGCTCGGGGGCCATGACGGGGAACGGCGCACTCGGGAAACCCTTCGTTGCCAGTATCTCTGGCCCAAGTTGACACAAGACATGGCCGCCTGGGTGCCGGGCTGCCGCGTGTGTCAGCAATGCGGGCTGAAACCGGCGCGATACCAGGTACCCCTGAGACCGTTCCGCGTCAGTCGAACGAATCAGCTAGTTGGGATCGACCTGCAGGGACCATTCCCGCGATCCCACCGGGGCAACCTATATATTCTTGTAGCAGTGGAGTACTTCACACGCTATCCCGTAGCGGTGGCCATCCCCGATAAGACAGCCCTCGTAGTGGCCCGAGCGTTCGTAGAACACTACGTACGTAAGCACGGGATCCCCGAACGAGTCATTACTGACCAAGGTAGTGAGTTCAAGGCAGAGCTATTCCAGGCGCAGTGCCGGGAGTTCGGGATCCAGAAGGACCGAACTACGGCGCATCACCCCCAGGCAAATGGGATGGTAGAGAGGATGAACCAGACCCTAGCCGGGAAGCTTAAACGCATGACGGCCGCGAATCAACAGGACTGGGACGAACACCTCCCCTATGCTCTGTTCGCCTACGCCACCACGGTACACACATCCACGGGACAGACCCCGTTCCTAATGATGTTTGGTCGCGAGTCTCACCTACCCACAGATCTGCTGTTCCGTGTCCCTCTACCACAACGGGAGGAAGGGAGCTGCCCCATGGAGCACCTGATGGAGACCCTACGAGAAGCTAGAGTCCGGGCCTACCCGCAAGGCGAGACCGCACACCAGCGGCAGGAGCGGAACGCCCGACCCCGAATGGAGCCCCCCTTCTACTCGGCGGGCTCTAAGGTGTGGCTGCACACCCCTCGCGTTGGGGCCGAACAGGTGGGGAAGTTAACCACTTACTGGCGGGGACCCTGGACGGTGGGGCGACAGATCTCCCCCTGGACGGTACTGATTCAAGGGGGAGAGAGGGGCCGGGAGATGGTAGTCAATGTCCGGCGACTGAAACCATGGAGGGCGACCTCAGCGAGGGAGAACCCCACGGTTCAAGGACCCCGAAACCCCGGGGTCCCCACACCCCCCATACCCGGGGGCCTCGTGCCGTATATGGGCCCCACGGGGCCCCGGGCCCCAGAGGGTCCCGACCCAAGCCAGGGGAGACGGGGGACGACAACCCCTGAACCCCACCGCCCCCGAGTTTGTCTCCCAGCCCTCAGGTACCTAGGACCGGACAGAGCCACTGGAGTGGAGGAGGAGACCGCCGCCGGAACCCCGAGAGATGGAGCCGCCACCACCGAGGCCAGCCACGAGGGCCGGACGAGTCCCGCGGACCCCGCGGCGCTACCTCTGTAGGGGCAACCCAGGCGAGGTGCTCCAGTCAACCCGGGACGGGGACTGGCACCTCGGGGGGCTGTGTGGTGCCACCACGGCGAAGTAGCTCCGTCGGGGACCGTGCCCACCGCCGCGACACCACACCACCCCCGGGGGGTGACAGTCAGTTTAACACGTAGGCTTTCGCGACCAATATTATTCATAATATACTTTTCTTAAAACCAGAAAGTTGGAGAAGCTCCGCATTAAGCGGATGAAGTTGATATCTGTACTGGCTTTCCTCAAAAGGTGCAGAGATTCAAAGGTAATACCAAACGCAGAGAGAGGACAGAGGGAGAACAGTGACTGGGAGTCCAAGAATGACAGGAGAACTGAGCAGACTCGCCTGGAAAGACTGACAAACTCACTTGGTTTCTCTAATCAAGGACATCTCACTATCTCCAGATGATTTGCTTTTCAGTTTCGATGTAGTCTCCCTGTTCACCAAGGTACCTGTACCTTACACCATTGCAATCATTGAAGACTTGGCCCAACAAGGACTGAATCCAGATGTACCAACTTTGGTAAGGCACTGCCTGACCAACACTTACTTCACCTGGAATAGTACATTCTACAAACAGAATGAGGGTACCCCAATGGGTTCTCCCTTATCGCCAGTGGTAGCGAATGTTTTCATGATGCCATACAGACATCCACCCTACGTCCTTCCTTGTGGAAGTGAGACGCAGACGGCACGTTCGTCATCTGGCCACATGGCCTGCCAGCACTGAACCAATTTCTCAACCACATCAATTCTTGACCCTCTTGAGGAGCCTTTCAAAACCATCACTTTACCCTATATTGCGGGGATCACAAAAAAGATCTCCAAAATCTTGAATAAACACAAGATCCAGGTCCGTTTCAACACATTACATAAAATCCGTGATCTGGTTCCGTCTGTAAAAGATGTGATTCCGGACATACAATACCCTGGTGTCTACAAACTAAGTTGCCTCTGTGGTAGTAGTTACATTGGATAAACCAAACGCCATGTCTCGGACCGCATTCGTGAACACAAAGCAGACCTTAAACATGGTAGGACCAACACCTTGGCCGTGGCAGATCATTGTTATAATTCAGTAGGCTCACATGACATTGACTTTTCCAAGACAGAGGTTCTTTGTAAGCCATCTGGCTACCATGAGAGATTCGTTCATGAGGCTATCCACATATACAAGCACAGAGACAATTTCAACCGAGAAGATAGATTCTGGCTTAGCAATCATTGTAAAGATTTGATAAACCATTTCAGGTCTTAATTGATTGTTCACGCTTATAGTGGCTTTCAGACAGCATCCATTAAAACAAATTCGTCTCCCCCCTCCTCTTTTCAGAACATAGATGGACTAGTCCTAAATAAACTGCCAAATCGCTGCGCGTGGCGCTAACGTTTTTAATAAATAAATACACCGTTAAAAAATAAATAAATTTATGTAAACCGACACACCTGATGACGACCGTTTGTGTTATGGTCGAAACGTCGTGAGAATTTTTATTGTTTTATATATATTTTATTGTTTCCCTTCAACGTGACTTTACCGAAAGAACTAAGAATACACATCAATTCCATACACCCGTCTATCAAATTCACCATGGAAGTGGAAAAGGATGGCAAGGTACCATTCCTGGATGTTTTGATCGAGAAGAGACCTGATGACCCGTTGGGACACATTGCCTCCTGTGGCCTATTGGATAATACAGCTCTGGTGGGTGAGTGAGGAGGTGAGTGAGTGAGTAGGCCCGAGACACACTGCCTCCTGTGGCCTATTGGCTAATACGGCCCTGGGTCCGTGACAGTCCTCCAGGTGGTCCGCGAGGCAGTGATGCAAATGCAGATTGATTCGTACAATTATGACGTTTCACCTGTTGTTTCGCACATTGATATTTTACTTATGATAATTAATTTTAAAAAGTTAAGTAAACTACCCTGATTAGACTACCCTAAGATCTAAATGCTTCCCCTAAAAAAAACCTGAAAGCTGCGTAAAAAAAAGAGTGTTCCGCTAATGTGAATAATTAGTGTTGCTGGTATTTATATAAAAAAGTGAAAACGTTTTGTCACCAGGACGGGGGGAGGCTGGGTGGTCCGCATACCAAGCAAGTTTGAGAAAGCCTACGTTAGTTATTGCTCTGTAGCACTTGTGTTATTCTTCGCAAACCCGAGTAACTCGTCTTCTGTTTGCCTTTGACCCTTGCCCTGAAATATGGTTATTTTGACAGGTATGTTGTTTGAGACGAAAGTAACTGAGATGTATAATTTGTCCGGTGATTTATTTCACGATTGGACAGTGACGAATTCTGGAGGTGAGGTTGAGAATATACCCCCAAGCAAAACCAACCGGTGACTGGATGTCGCCTCGTGCCCATGGTGTGACTGGTGGGTCTGGGCCCATGGTGTGACTGGTGGGTCTGTCCCCATGGTGTGACTGGTGGGTCTGGGCCCATGGTGTGACTGGTGAGTCTGTGCCCATGGTGTGACTGGTGAGTCTGTCCCCATGGTGTGACTGGTGGGTCTGGGCCCATGGTGTGACTGGTGAGTCTGTCCCCATGGTGTGACTGGTGGGTCTGGGCCCATGGTGTGACTGGTGAGTCTGTGCCCATGGTGTGACTGGTGAGTCTGTCCCCATGGTGTGACTGGTGGGTCTGGGCCCATTATGTGACTGGTGAGTCTGTCCCCATGGTGTGACTGGTGGGTCTGTCCCTATGGTGTGACTGGTGAGTCTGTCCCCATGGTGTGACTGGTGGGTCTGTCCCTATGGTGTGACTGGTGAGTCTGTCCCCATGGTGTGACTGGTGGGTCTGTCCCCATGGTGTGACTGATGAGTCTGCCCCCATGGTGTGACTGGTGAGTCTGTCCCCTTGGTGTGACTGATGAGTCTGTCCCCATGGTGTGACTGGTGGGTCTGTCCCCATGGTGTGACTGGTGAGTCTGTCCCCATGGTGTGACTGGTGAGTCTGTCCCCATGGTGTGACTGGTGAGTCTGTCCCCATGGTGTGACTGGTGAGTCTGTCTCCATGGTGTGACTGGTGAGTCTGTCCCCATGGTGTGACTGGTGAGTCTGTCCTCATAATGTGACTGGTGCGTCTGTCCCCATGGTGTGACTGGTGAATCTGTCCCCATGGTGTGACTGGTGAGTCTGTCCCCATGGTGTGACTGGTGAGTCTGTCCCCATGGTGTGACTGGTGAGTCTGTCCCCATGGTGTGACTGGTGGGTCTGTCCCCATGGTGTGACTGGTGAGTCTGTCCCCATGGTGTGACTGGTGAGTCTGTCCCCATGGTGTGACTGGTGAGTCTGTGCCCATGGTGTGACTGGCTGGTGAGTCTGTGCCCATGGTGTGACTGGTGTGTTTTCGATTTAAAGCTTTCGTGACTGCAAGGATTCATCTTCTTTGGTTATTTCGGTAAAGTCACGTAGAATGAGAATAAAATAATAAATTGATCAAATAAAAATAACACAATAATATTCTCACGACGTTTCGGCCACAACACAAGCGGCCTTCATCAGGTGAAGGGGACGAGACTGTCTGGAGGACAGCGCTGGAGTGAGACGAGACTGTCCTCCAGACAGTCTCGTCCCCTTCACCTGATGAAGGCCGCTTGTGTTGTGGCCGAAACATCGTGAGAATATTATTGTGTTATTTTTATTTTATCAATGTATTATTTTATTCTCATTCTACGTGACTTTACCGAAAGAACCAAAGAAGATGGTGTGTTTTCCCCAATCATTGTTTTAGCTTTTCCGACATGCTCCAATAACTATAACCTCAATCACGTCTATGGCCCAAGCTATATTTGGGGTGGTGGTGGCTCGTCATGAAAGTTGTATCCATGAATGCGGTAGCGACTGGCACGTCGGCCATCCAAGACGTGGGTTTCTTGAAGCGTCAGGACATCAGTGTCACGTGGGTGTTCATGATGTTCGCGATATGCACGCACGTCGACCAGGAGAGTCCGTCAATGTTCAGTTGGAGGATCCTCGTCCCAGGGCCTATCTGGCACGCCGTCCTTGTTTGGTCCTGAAGAGGGCCGTTGGCGTGGCTCGTGGTGTTGTTGTTGTCGTCGCTGTGGAGACCGGGAGATCGACCATCGATCTTCAGTCGCCGCGTTTGACGGCATTCGTCACGATTTATCACTTAACAGTGTGGCCGCGTGAAGGCTGCCATTCTCCACTCCTTTCACCCCCAATACCTGACCCTCACTCCGTACTCTTTAAATCTCCTGTTTTTTTATCGAACGCGTTTACAACCCTCTTTAACACAGCCACTGTGGCTCAGACTGCCATCTTTGAAGAAGCCAGAGAGACGCCTCCACCGCCAGGCTCTCGGATCCCATACGACAAAAAGCCCCTAACGCTTCGGAACAATGCCTTGTACAATACGATTTTTTTACTAAGCTATGGAGCTCTATTTCAGAAGCGACCTGGCTATCACAAATGATAGCTCAACGAAGTGGCTTATCACGTGGACATGTATAGCAGGCAAATACTCAAAACACGTGATGTCGATTTTAAATGCGGAGGGAAAACCCGGAGGACCCAGAGGAAAATCCCCACGACCACGAGGAGAAAGACACGCAAACTCAAACTACACAGTAGGCGTCTGTGTCGGGATCAAACCTACAACCTCCTGCACACCAGGCGAGGTAGTTCACATCTCGCTACCGTGGTTCCTGAATCCCTGATTCGCCCAAGCTCCCACCCATAACCCGATGGGTCGGGCCTCGACATAACGTTCAGAGACCAGGGCTCTACCCGCACGCTGCAGCTCGGCCTGCGTGGACCTACAACACGTCGCTCCCAATGGCTGTGGACGCCCTCCGATCATGACCCACCAACCCCAATGTGGACAGGCCCTTTGAAGGTTCCCCTGAGTAACAGCATCAAGAGGCATCACGCCACTCAAACTGGCTGTTGTCCATTTATTGTAGACTAGTTTTGTTTGCCCGCCCAAGGGACGGGTGTATATTTATTGCAGTAAATCTGAAATATTCAATCGAAAAATTGTTCATCTCATGATTATTAATGAGGGGGGGGGGCCATGTGGAGTGACGTCACCCGCTAACGGTTATTGGGGAGGGGTGCGGCATGTGGAGTGACGTCACCCCCTGATGGTTATTGGGGAGGGGTGCGGCATGTGGAGTGACGTCGCCCGCTCATGACTATTAATGAGGGGAGGGGTGCGGCATGTGGAGTGCGCGACCTTCTTGTGCGTTAGTGTAAATTTCCATGCGGGCATGAATATTAATGAAGGGGGGGGGGCTCTTTTGCAGTGAAGTAACGCACAGATGTAGCACTGTGCTGCGTAGATTTATTTTTTACCGTCACTTTCTGTATAGAAACGTCATATTTGAAGCGACTTTGCGTAATAAATTCTCTAATTCAGCTCCACCTTCCTCTTGCGTTAGTGTAAAAATCCACCCACTCATGAATATTAATGAAGGGGTGGGCCTCATGTGGAGTGACGTCACGCGGAGGAGTGGACTTCATGTGGAGTGACGTCACGCGCAGGGACACACACTCTTGGCTTATTATAGTATTATTAAAGTATTTGTGTTAGTCTTCTTTGGTTCTTTCGGTAAAGTCAGCGCTGGAGCTCCTCCAGACAGTCTCGTCCCTTCAACTGATGAAGGCCGCTTGTGTTGTGGCCGAAACGTCGTGAGAATTTTATTGTGTTATTTTATTTTATCAATTTATAATTTTATTCTCATTCTACGTGACTTTACCGAAAGAACCAAAGAAGATGAATCCTTGCAGTCACGAAAGCTTTAAATCGAAATTTAGTTGTGTTAGTTCGACTTCAATAGCCGCCATAGGTACACTTTGCTGTTTTCCAGTTCTGTTCCTTTTGACAGATATCCCCAATGGTTTAACGAACATATTGGAGATGAACTTTGTTGTGCTAATTTATTTGTGTAAATAGGGAGCGGTGGTGCAGTGGTTTGCGATTTCAACCCAGTGACCTGACCTCGATCCCAGCCTAGCCAGTAGTAGTTTCACACCCAAAGCTCCGGACAAAGGATTCCCATTCAATTGCTGCCATCTGTTGGCCACATAACATCGTGAATTTAACAGTTTTATATATCAGTGTGTGGTGCACAACACACCCGTGCCTCGAAAATGCTGGATAATAATCCTCGCGCATAATCACGCAAGACATATTCCCTCATTCCCAATTGAGTCCACATTATCGAGGCCATATTATTAATATCAATATAATTTACTACCCGTAGCACTGCCACAAACGACACACAGACACATCCCATATTCGTCAAGAATTAATTTTTATGCGATTTGTCTTTTGCAGACACGGTATCACAGTTGGCACATTTGCTAAATACTTAGCAAGATATCTTCTTGCAGAAATGGTATTTCCAGCGACGATCCCTAAAGAAAGTAGGAAGACGTCGTTAGTGATATTTAAATCAAGAGTGGCAGTAGACATCGCTGTCTGTAGATGATGAAGCAGATTGTGATGGTAGCCGTCTGTATAATGATGGGAGAGATACAGGCAGAGATGACAATAACTTTACAATCCAATTTTCATGTTACATCACTTCATTATTCTTTATTGATAATTTCTTCAGATAATCTCAAGCTACTGTTTCTGTTGTGGTTAATATTTTGACCTGCCTTTTATTATCGGAATTGTTTGGAACACCCAGGTCTCCCTAAGTCTCAGTCTGCTCTGATTGGTTTTAAATGCACGTTTCATCATGATGATTCATTCATGTTTAAAGTGATATTCACGTGACAATATACGATGATGATGCTGCTGCATCAAGTGTGCATTGTGAATATGAACACAATTGAGATGTATCTTAAGGAGGTGACTCGCTGTACTTACTCTTTGCCATTGTCGTGATAACTGGACACACCAGCTAAGAAGTAGGAGTCTGGGACGGTCCAGCTGAACTGCTCATCCCAGTTATTGACGTAGTCAGTCCACAAGCACTCGCTGAAGCAGACATTGCTCTGGGCGCAGCAATTATACTTCCACCTGCATCGGGAGGAGAATACGACTCAGTTCGCTGTCATTGTTTGCGAATAAAAGACGATACAGAGTATAGTGTGTTAACTGTAAAACGTCACGTGTGGGAAGGACTGTACGGCCGAGTTTACTACAACGGGGCAATGCAACCCCGAGCCTCAAATCGGATTAAACATGCGCAGAGCATGCCACGTGGTGTTAGTCTCCCTCGGGGAGCCGGAGGCAGTGGTGGAAACTCCACTTTCCTATGGCGGGGGTTAGTCTCCACTTTATCTGCTTCCCACTCTTGGAAACAAAGTTGTTCACAAGAGGTTTTTTTTTGGGGGGGGGGGGGGCGTTAGATCGCGTAAATATAAATGTTGTGTCGTTAAAACCCGCCATCACCCGACGCAGCCAATTAGTAATCAAAACGTGACCAATTAGATTCTAGTTCAGCACACCGGTGTGTTGGAGAGTAAACCCACAACATTGTGGTGGTGGCGGGTTTAACGACACATTTATATGTTTGCGATATAACCCAAAACAAACCTCTGTTACGAATAAAGTTGGTCGCGAAAACCCTACTACGTGTTAAACAAAGTCGGACTTGTTTTTATGAACGAGTACGACTTCCCAACTCTCCAATTGATTTCAACTCTGCCAAAAGCCTCCTGGCCAGGCATCAAAACCAAATGAGCGATTGCGACACTTCCCGGAATGTATGAAGCAGACGCTTTCTAAGCACTTGCCTGCGTCTATTGCAACGATTGATTGGATTGCAATCACGAACGGGGGAAGCAGGGGAAGCAATTTCCCCCCTCCTCACTTGACGAGTCGGGGCGTTTTGGGTGAAGCGGCTACGTAGGTCACGCTGCCTGGGTGCACGACTCAGCCTCACACGGGTACCTGGTGCGGTGTATAGGAAACATCGCCACTAGGCAGACAAAGGCGGCCGGGCGTGGTGCTGGCAACCCACCCTCTCGTGTACCGTTCCGGCCTTCATAGGTGCTCGCGAACAGCACTTGCCCCAACAGTCTGTTCAGGCTACGCTCGGGGAATCTTTGTTTGCATACCCGCGAGTCGAGGTGTGGGAGCTGCGCACCTGCGGTCCTCCTTGCCGTTGTCGTGGTAGCTCTCCATGCCATTCAGAGCCGAGTGGAAAGGGCAGCTGAAGGAGAAGGCCTCGTCGAAGTTGTTGACGTAGTTGCTCTGCGTGCAGGTGACGGTGCGGCTCGTGTCGAAGGTACCTTTGCAGCGGAAGTCCCACATCCGGTCTTCCTTGCCGTTGTCGTGAATACTGTAGGGCGACACCGGAGCGCAGCGCCACGCGTCACCCCCCTGTGCCCCGGCGCGTCCGTGCCGTCGAGGGTTTCTACTCCGCCTGACTCATCTGACCAGAGTGAATTTAATTCTGTGAAAACGGGAATATTTTTGTATCTATTTATTTACGTTCGTGCACTCATTTGATGTTTGTTTATATGACGTTATTGCATTTGTTTTATTGCACTTATTGCTGTCATTATGTTATGTTAGTGACCCCAAGTCACTTCTTGCAAAGCAGTCGATCCCAGTCTTGCGTTGATACCTGGTTAAACCAAAATACATTTAAAACTTTAAACCCGCACTGACCAGCGTAGTAAAGTATGGTCAAACAATCCCCACGACCGACACGGCGTGAGAAGGCCTCCATCCAGCAGTGGACTGACAGAGCTGTAAGTTATTCCTTGTTCTCACTGATTAGTGGCTGGTTCGGAAAGGGCATGGGGCAACAACCCACCTCTGCACTTGCGAGATGCTCTGATGGGAAGGGCAGTTGAAGTTCAGAAGCTGGTCATAGTTGTTCACGTAGCGCGGGTCGGCGTTGGGAGCTGGATGAGTTTCCGTGCGGCACACACGAGGGGAGTGTCAGGGGGCGATGTTCAGGCAAACGGAGTTTCGGTTCATAGCGCGTGCTGTTGCTGTTGGGGTGTGTGGCTGCCAAACCCCTTGTGCAGCATACCACGGACATGAATTAGATACAAAGTTTACAGCAGCTCCTCCTGCTCACAATGAGAAAACGCGGGGGAGTGTTAAAGTGCAGCGGCCGAATACGGACGAGTCCGATGCACCACGCGGCCCCTGTGAGATCGTGAGGTTCGCTCTGTCACCTGTGAGGTTCACTCTGTCACCCGTGAGGTTCACTCTGTCACCCGTGAGGTTCACTCTGTCACCCGTGAGGTTCACTCTGTCACCCGTGAGGTTCGCTCTGTCACCCGTGATGTTCACTCTGTCACCCGTGAGGTTCACTCTGTCACCCGTGAGGTTCACTCTGTCACCTGTGAGGTTCACTCTGTCACTCGTGAGGTTCACTCTGTCACCTGTGAGGTTCACTCTGTCACCCGTGAGGTTCACTCTGTCACCTGTGAAGTTCACTCTGTCACCTGTGAGGTTCACTCTGTCACTCGTGAGGTTCACTCTGTCACATGTGAGGTTCACTCTGTCACCTGTGATGTTCACTCTGTCACCCGTGAGGTTCACTCTGTCACCCATGAGGTTCACTCTGTCACCCGTGAGGTTCGCTCTGTCACCCGTGAGGTTCACTCTGTCACCCGTGAGGTTCACTCTGTCACCCGTGAGGTTCACTCTGTCACCCGTGAGGTTCACTCTGTCACCTGTGAGGTTCACTCTGTCACCTGTGAGGTTCACTCTGTCACTCGTGAGGTTCACTCTGTCACCTGTGAGGTTCACTCTGTCACCTGTGAGGTTCACTCTGTCACCTGTGAGGTTCACTCTGTCACTCGTGAGGTTCGCTCTGTCACCCGTGCGGTTCGCTCTGCGTACAACGCCAGCGGCACTCACCCAGATTGGCGGCGTGAAGTCCGGCGACCAGCGTGGCGAACAGCAACAGCTTCATCGCGACAGGCAGGCAGCTTCTAAAACCCGAGTCTCTCCCTTGGCGACCCATTTGACGCCTCCTTTATAGCGCAGCCAACTCCTCCTGCCGGCTCCTGCCGGGAGCCACGCGCTTGCCGTGCGCGTCACAGTCCGCGGGCTGCTGGGACGACCACCGTCTGCTCGCGTTCCCACGACGGCGTGGGAACGCTCGCACGGACTCCGCGGGATATCCCGTCGCGAATTGCAGCCCTGCCATCATCCGGCCTTCACCTGGACCTGAACTGCTGCGCGTGTGGGGGCCGGCGTCCACCCCACCGCCCTCGTCGGGCAGGTGGGGCGCGACGTCCGCCCCCTCCACCGCGTCGGTCGGCTCCCGCCAGGCACCCGCCGACCGGGTGATCCCCCCCCCCCCACGTGTGCGCCCTCTCTGGGGGACATGATTGAACTACTGGCTTACCGCCGTACAGAGTTAGTCCTCACTCACATACACACCACCGCTCACGCTAACGCGGCGCACAGCAATACGACCGCGCCCGCACCTGCGAGCGATCATCTCAACGAGCGCTCGTGCTGCGGCTCTGCCCTCACTCTCGCCGCGCGTCCGCCCACGCAGCCGCTCCACACATAAGTCACTCACACCACACCGATGCTCTGTGCTAACTTTTATCCGCAGCGCAAATCCCGCACTACCCGGAGGGAATATTCTATGAGCAGAGCCTAGCCTACTGCTACCCAAGTCCCCACATACTCGCACGCCCTATCACGTACCTCGCAGCTGTACTCACGGCGTCGCACGGACGCTGTGAGAGTCGGAGGGAGGATAAGGAAAACACCTTGCCTATCACTTCCTCGTAGCAGCACTCGCTGGCATCACACGGATGCTGCGAGCGGCTCGAGGAGCTGTTGAAGAGGTGGCGCTAGGATCTCCCCGCCCTCATCGTCTGCTTTGCTCGCTTAATATTTCACACCATCCCTCTCCCTGATGTCGTGCATGCCTCATTGCGGCTGGCCCGGTGAACATTTGTGCGCCCATGCAATTTTAAGCCAATTTAGGGGCGCCGCAATGTGACTTGTCCGGTGAGGGTCGGCCAATCACCTGGCATCGGGAAACCGCGGGACACCGGATGAAAACCCGTTGTGCCAGGCGATCCCCCGCTGGGACACTACGTGTGTGTGTGCTGCGTGTGTGTGTGCTGCGTGTGTGTGCTGCGTGTAATGTGTGTGTGCTGCGTGTAATGTGTGTGCTGTGTGTGTGTGTGCTGCGTGTGGGTGTGTGCTGCGTGTGTGTGTGCTGCGTGTGTGTGTGCTGCGTGTGTGTGTGTGCTGCGTGTGTGTGTGCTGCGTGTGTGTGCTGCGTGTAATGTGTGTGTGCTGCGTGTGTGTGTGTGCTGCGTGTGTGCTGTGTGTAATGTGTGTGCTGCGTGTAATGTGTGTGCTGCGTATGTGTGTGCTGCGTGTGGGTGTGCTGCGTGTGTGTGTGCTGCGTGTGTGTGTTGCGTGTGTGTGTGCTGCGTGTGTGTGTGCTGCGTGTAATGTGTGTGCTGCGTGTGGGTGTGTTCTGCGTGTGTGTGCTGCGTGTGTGTGTGCTGCGTGTAATGTGTGTGCTGCGTGTGTGTGTGTGCTGCGTGTAATGTGTGTGCTGCGTGTAATGTGTGTGCTGCGTGTGTGTGTGTGCTGCGTATAATGTGTGTGCTGCGTGTAATGTGTGTGCTGCGTGTGTGTGTGCTGCGTGTGTGTGTGTGCTGCGTGTGTGTGTGCTGCGTGTGTGTGTTTGCTGCGTGTAATGTGTGTGCTGCGTGTAATGTGTGCTGCGTGTGTGTGTGCTGCGTGTGTGTGTGCTGCGTGTGTGTGTGTGCTGCGTGTAATGTGTGCTGCGTGTGTGTGTGCTGCGTGTAATGTGCGTGCTGCGTGTGTGTGTGCTGCGTGTGTGTGTGTGCTGCGTGTGTGTGTGTGCTGCGTGTGTGTGTGCTGCGTGTATGTGTGCTGCGTGTGTGTGTGTGCTGTGTGTGTGCTGCGTGTGTGTGTGTGCTGCGTGTGTGTGTGCTGTGTGTGTGCTGCGTGTGTGTGTGTGCTGCGTGTGTGTGTGCTGCGTGTATGTGCTGCGTGTGTGTGCTGTGTGTATGTGTGCTGCGTGTGTGTGTGTGTGCTGCGTGTGTGTGTGTGCTGCGTGTGTGTGTGCTGTGTGTGTGTGCTGCGTGTGTGTGCTGTGTGTGTGCTGCGTGTGTGTGTGTGCTGCGTGTGTGTGTGCTGCGTGTAATGTGTGTGTGCTGCGTGTGTGTGTGTGCTGCGTGTGTGTGTGCTGCGTGTGTGTGTGTGCTGCGTGTAATGTGTGTGTGCTCCGTGTGTATGTGTGCTGCGTGTAATGTGTGTGCTGCGTGTGTGTGTGTGCTGCGTGTGTGTGTGTGTGCTGCGTGCGTGCTCAGGCTGTGCTCAGGGTGGGGTAGGGAGGAATCGCGGCGCTTGCGGAGTTGCTCCGCGGTCGTGACACCCACGTGTCGTACGCTGAACTTCTTTCGCACCGTTCGTAGCCAACCCGTGCTAATCGGAGGTGCAGGGGGAAAGGGACAGCAAACCAGCACGCAAAAAATGGCGGGGATCTCACCTGCCGCTTGCTGCATTGCATCGCGATGACTGTAATGCATCGCGATGACTGTAATGCATCGCGATGACTGTAATGCATCGCGATGACTGTAATGCATCGCGATGACTGTAATGCACCGCCAGAAATAGCTGCCTCTCGACGCTAAGCGTGTTGCCAGCCGCTACTCGTTTACGTCTCTAATTACAACTCCCACGGACATCTGCAGCTGCTACAGCCACAGTGCCTTCTACGAGAACCCTCGGTGTGCAACTTCTCATTATATATCCACGTGTTTCACTGGGTGCATTATGTACGTATGTTGAACGTCTTTCGCACCATGCATAGCCAACCGAGTGTGATATTGACTGTATAATTGCAAACAGTATCAGTTATAGATTTACAGTGTGTATGTATACGTATCTTGACGTCTTTGTGTGCCTGAGTGACTTTCACGACGGTGGGCAGGCCTAGATAATGCTACTTGGCCGGGAGTCAGAGCCATTCCCTGTTAACCTTGGGGTGCGACAGGGATGTATTCTAGCTCATACATTATTTAAAAATGACTTTGACCATTTTGTTCGATAAGCTTTTTTATGTTCTTGGTTCTTTCGGTAAAGTCACGTAGAAGGGAAATAATACAATAATAAAAATAAAACAGAATAAAACAAAAGGCAAGACAGTGTTGGCTGAAGCATGTAGCCCGAATTTCCCAGCTACCGCATGCCCAAGCAGTTCTGTTTGGCCAAATAAATGGGGCTAATGGACACGGCGAGGGCTAGAGAAGAGACTGACTTGCAGAGGAGTGGTACCAGCGGTAGATTGAAAACTGTAGATTGAAAACTCATTTATTTCTAACAAATTTGTGTGTATAGTTTGTTGTCCTTCCCCCGCACCTCTGATAATCACGGTTGGCTACTTACTGTGCAAAATAAGTTCAACATACATATACACATGTCTTTCAAATTTTCCAACGAATATATCAATTGATGGTCTGGACACCCTTGTGCATGAGGCGTTACATCATTTTTTAAATGAAATAAATGTATAAAGAAAATTAAACTTTGACTTGATGTGCACTATGTTGGTGTACCGTAAAATATGATGACCCAGCTTAATAACTCGGTATTCCCTCTGTATTTTTAATCCATGTAAAAAAATAACGCAGTATTTCGAATACTTTGGTGTTCTGTGGTGAGGAGAATCCATTCTTGCAGACCGTGCCAAGAAGTGGCCTTGACCAGGCATCCTTTTGCAAAAAGCCCAAAGTTGAGTTTCATTGCAGTCAGAACGAGCAGCTACGTGGTGAGAGGTTCGTGGTGAGAGGTTCGTGGTGAGAGGTTCGTGGTGAGAGGTTCGTGGTGAGAGGTTCGTGGTGAGAGGTTCGTGGTGAGAGGTTCGTAGTGAGAGGTTCGTGGTGAGAGGTTCGTGGTGAGAGGTTCGTGGTGAGAGGTTCGTGGTGAGAGGTTCGTGGTGAGAGGTTCGTGGTGAGAGGTTCGTGGTGAGAGGTTCGTGGTGAGAGGTTCGTGGTGAGAGGTTCGTGGTGAGAGGTTCTCCCCAGGTGAGGAACCCAACGTGATCCTTGGAGAATTCTGCTCAAGCCAACAACTCAGTTCAGGTCCTTTCCTGGGCTGCAGTCACCATTGCCGTTGGGTCTAAACGTCCCCATGACCTTTCCTATTCTTGTATTTTCTGTTGTTGCTGAGACGAGAGCGCATGTGGGAGGCTTCGTCTCACGCAGCGGACACGAGGGAAGGGTGAAGGCCGGTTTACATTTACAGAGTAAACAAACGTGGTGGGCATTGCAACACTAAGATAAGCAATGGGGTGACTACAGGTGTCACTTTCCCCACCCGCGATGTTGCAGATCACTGTCACACGAGGAGAGTTCACGCGTTATCTTCGAACGACATTGTCCCACGTGGCTGCAGATAAGAGAGCTCTGTTGTACATGCAATGGAATAAACACGAGAACAAACAAGAATTGGCTAAAACTGGATTCGAAGCTTTCGTGACTGCAGGAATTACTCTTTGGTTCTTTCGGTAAAGTCACATAGAAAATAAAATAATAATAGAATACGAGGTTTCTGTTGCAACACAAGCAGCCATCATTAAGTAAGAATGAATGATAAAACACAGACACGAAAACAACATAAAGGAGACACACATGCAGAGAGAGACAAACATAAAGATACACCGAGCGAGACACTCACCAAGACAAACATAAGGACAACGAATCTGTGCCGAGGCCTTAAATAGAGAGAGGGGGGAGGGCCCGGGGCAGAGAGAGGACTGGGGAGGCGGACAAACGAGAGGATCAGTGGACAAACGAGGGGACAAGGAGGGAGCAGTGTGGAATTCTGGAACACAGTGGCCGGAGGAGAGACAATGGTTTTGGGCAAGAAAATCGAAAGTTTGAGAAAGCAAATTTAGTAAAATTAAGAAGTGCAATGCAACACAGAGGGTCGGTTAACGCAGTTAACGCATAGCCTGGTTGATTAACGTTCTCCCCCTTCCTCGGATTAGCCGACACTCACCCCTACACTCTCTGCGATTACATTTACTTAAAAATTCCACCCCTAGTCCCACCCACTTCCCCTTGGTTGTACCCACCACAAACGTCTATAACCCTTGGTTGTAGTCACTCTCTCGCTACATTTCCTCCTCAGCAGTCCCGCCTGCTGTATATATTTTTTCACCTGAAGACGATGGCTTGTTGCTATCGAAACATCGTGATTTATTAGTTATTTGTTTCTACCTACGTGACTTTACTGAAAGAACCAAAGAGT